TCATTAGGAGATTCACACCACAGTGTGATTTTGTATAAGATCGGACACAAGTGCCACTGCAGTTACCTATTTCACTAATATTTGGGTGATGCAGTGTTGAACAATTGATCCGATCTCATACACATCATCTGGTAGACATGAAGATATCAGCTAGTAGCGAAAGGGTAGCCATATGTCGAAGTGACCCAAAGATTAACACAACACCCAGCATCAATAAAGTACCTGTTAAGGGTGCAATCAGGATCTTATAGCAGGTGCACCATGTTGGCAAATTCAGTATAACATTTCGGAATCTAGGAGTTGGTTCGTGATGGAAATTATATGGTTTGATGTTACATGATCCATCTTCTGATGGGTGAGATTTTTATATCAGTAACTTGCCTGAAACTTGTTGGTTGCATGCATATGGCAGTTCAAATGACAACATATAGGACATGTTCATCAATGCATAAGATGTACCAAGAAACATTGTTTGCATATTTGTTCATAAATAAATTACAAAAGCTAGCCCGAATAAGATGATACAAACAACAGAGCAGGTGGAGCAACAAAAAGCTACGCCAACATCTATATTAAGCTAAAGCTTATCTCGGTGCTTCCATTTGATGTACTAATCTTGTGTATTTGTACAACTTTATATACAGTTGTTTCATTTTTATACCATTTAAAATATCAGTTTCGGTGTCTAAGAAACTCTATGTTGTCCTCATATCCAGGAAGATGAGAATCAGGAGGAGACAAATGAAGATCTTAATTCTGACACAGACAAATTGCTTTGAACATCATGGTGCACATGTTTCTGATGATAGTCCATGCAGAGATATACTCATTTTCAGTCATAGGAGACCTCCAAATGACATCCACAATCCAAGTGTTGTAGCCTAAATTGTGAATATGCTCTGTGCAGTAACTTAGATTGAATTAGACTATCTTCTTCAAGCGGATTAGGTGATGCCAATCTTCTTTTAGCTCTTCAAGTGACTTTGACAGTGTTCAGCTAACGGATGTTCATTTGTTACATTCCTGTGTACAGATTGACTTTCTCAGTGAACCATCTGTTTAGCTGACCTGTTTTCTCTTGTTTGGAGTCTCTTAAAAGTCAAAACCTCCTGTGATAGGTTTGCTGATTTGGAATCAATTGATATCCTATTTCGTGTATGTCTTTTGTTAGTGTCGAAAATAATTGAATCTTTAGGACGTCAAATCTGTGTGTGTTTACTCTTCATGGTCTCGCACGTTGTTGGCACGTGGCCTTTTTCTGGGATGTTGCAATGGCATGCCGAGAAATCGCAGCTACGTGTAAGTATGGATTTCCTGCCCATACCGAGGCAGGGAACACCATCCTCTCTCAAGGTAATCGTCGAGTCACACATACACGTGGCAGTCTGCTTTTCGACGTGGGAATATTAATGTCATCTAATGAATACCGTTATAGTTTAATGTCGTTGACACGACAAATCGCTTTATGACACCACCACGTGTTTCCCGTCTCGACCGAAGCAGCTACTGCTCCGCTTTGTTGGGAATATTAATTTCTTAAAAAAAATCTCTTTGGGAATATTAATCCGTCTCGACAAATCGCTTTGGGAATATTAATTTCTTAAAAAAAATCTCTTACAAGTTTTCTTAAAAAAAATCTCTTAAAAAAATTCTCATACAAGTTTTCTTACGGTTTTCTCAACTATACAAAGAAATCTCTGTTGAAAAAAAAAATTTCTGTTGAGAAAAATCATCTATTCCGATGGAGAGGGAAATCCTTCCTCCTAATATGTATAAATAGGAGAGGGATATATTAATGTATTAAAGTTTTCTTATCTTCTATTCTTTACAACATGGTATCAGAACAGGTGAGACGAGCGAGGCTCCACGACCATTGATGTACGACGCGTGATGCATTCGCTGCTACCCTAGCTGTTGCCGTGACTACACCCGGCGTCGCCATCAGGTGCGGCCACAACAATGAGGGTATGTTTTAGTGTGGTCGGCTACTCGCCCTCGACAGTGGATCCCTCTCCAACCCTTGCCCGTTCCTTTCCTCTTTCATCGTTAATGATATAATAAGCGATTGCTTTATATTTTGTTAAGAAATTACCTATCAAACTAACATGAATATAAATCATAAAATGGACTTCTTAGTGTTGAGACAATTCGTAAAATCAACATATAAATATCTCATCGGTCAACTTCTTCTATATATGAGCATGCAATTTATCATCCCCTGTAAATATCTAATCACTTTCTTTGTAGCTTTTTAATGTTTCATTCCTAGGTTGAACTAGATCTACCCAATATTCCAATTATAAAATTGATATCTAACCTTGTATAGTTTTAAGCATGTATAATAAATATTCTTAATCAATTTTAAGTCATTTTTAGGATATTAATCTTAATTGAATTTTGTATGTCTAGTAATAGATATATCATCATTCGAACAAAACTATATATTGAATCTCCCTAAGACTCAGTCAACATATCCTTTGTGAAATAATCTTAATAACTATTGAGTTCTATCTTAAATATCTCAATGTTAATAACATAAACTAACTCATTCATATCAATTATTTTAAAATTCTTAGTGAGAAAATCTTAGTTTCGTATAATAAATCAAGATTACTACTAGTAAGCAAAATATCATTAATATATAAAATTAATATAATAAACTTATTTTCACTGACCTTCAAATATATATACTGATCAATAATATTTTTCTTAAATCTAATAGAAGTAATGATATTATGAAACTTTATATATCAATTTTTAAAAACTTATTTAAGATCATAAATAGATTTTCTAAGTTTGCATACCCAACTTTTCTTTTTCTTCTCTATGAATCCTTAATGTCGTTCCATATAAATTTTCTCATTAAAATACCTATTTAGAAATATTATTTTCATATCTGATATAACTCAATATGGTACTAAGCTTCTAATCTTATGACAATACTCAATGCGATCTATTCTTTCTAAAAAAAATATTTGGCTAAGTCTAACCTTTTATCATTCAATATTATCTTTTAAATTATATTTTATCTTAAAAATTCATTTATAACCGAGTTATTAGATAATTCAACGAGTTCTAAATATCATTTTGGTCTATTGATTTTATCTCTTCTTTCGTTACATTGTATCACTTTTCAGAATTATTACTTTCCATGGCTGTGAAAAATTTAAGAGGTCTCTTTTAATTCTTATATCATAATTTAATTTTTTTAGATATACCACATAATCATCATAAATGACAAGTCTCATTTTCGTTTAAAATTTTCTCAATACTATTGATTATGATTAATCTAGAAGATTATTAGCGATGACATCAATATTATATCAAAGTACATTAAAGTTATTTTATTATTCACTATTATCAATTTGTTCAGTAATTTAAGAAACAATAACCTCTCAAATAGAAAATGATAAATGAGTATCAACCACATATCTTCTATATTAAAATTAATCTTTCGAGATTTTTCATGATTTTATCATTTTCTATAAATCTTGCATTACCATATTTTACCATCATCGTATTATGATTAAGTCAATAAAATCTATATCTCTTAAATTTTTTTAGATAACTAATAAAATATTCAAAAATAGTGGTTGGATCTATTTTTTTTCATGTGGATTAAAGACTTCTATCTTTATAAATCGACCCCAAATATATATATATATATATATATATATACATATACATTGAGTTTTCTACTACTCCATAACTCAAATAGAATAGATGAAACTAATTTATTAGAATTCATATTCAAAATATACATAACTATCCTAAAAGCTTCACCTATCGACTCAAATATAAATGAATAACTCATCGTGTTTTATCTTTCAGTAATACTATTTTATTGTGACAAAAATGGTAGGACATATTGAGTAAAATACCTTCCTTTTTTAGGTATCTAACAAAAGAGCCATGATTCTAAACTAACGTAGTTTTAATTTTTTATTTAAATTATTTATCAACTTCATTTATGTACATATAAGTGTCAATAGTTTATGATTTTTCATGTATTAGATACATATCGATCAATGATCTTAGCATTGAACTCGTCAGATTGGATGTGATGGCACAATCATGGCCAATGCTTCTCTAGGAGGCAGATGGCATGGATAAAGTCGGAGGTGAAGACAACACATTTGGATACAGACCACCTCGACATGATGAATTAGATCATAGAGTAGCTGAGCGCACATGCTTTGATAAGAGTCTAGGGAGAAGATTGCTTCATTGGGGCTGGTAAGAACGTTAAGGTTGGCTGAGGAAGTGGCGACTCTCTTAGTAGTTGGTGAGGATAGGACGACCTATTAGGCCACCAAGAGTGAGCGCCTCAGACTTCATAAACCGGAGGTATATTCCCTAGCCCTTGTCAAGGCCCGGCACGAATTGGCTTATCACCAACATTTGGAGCAACGAACGACGATCCAGCTAATCCTCGATCATTGTCATGAGTTTTCGCTCGCCACCCAATCACCCCGAGCGGTGGATATATTTATTATCATTAATCATTCACTCCATGAGTGGGATGGGATAATGATAAATAATATTTTCAAACCCAACATATTTGGAATATTTTGAATGCACTATTATATCATCTCTATTTATAATATATTTTGATATATTAAATTTATTTTTTAATATGATATTATGAAATTAATTTAACCCGATCTATTTTTCGAGTATGGTAACACTTGGAAGACAACTTTTTCTTCAAGCGATACAATTCATAATTTCATACAAAAGAAAAAAAAAAAACTCAACATTTTGTCTCATCTCAATCCGTTACTGAAAAATTGCACCGAATACTTAAGGTAATTTTTGATTTATCATGGCATCGACTAGACTCGATTCTCGATTAACTAAGAATAGCAACAACATATCAGATCTTAATTTCAGTATTGAGATTAATTTTTAATTCGATTAAAATTGGTCTTTTAATCGAGATATAAACTAAGCACACATCTCCAGTTGTTGATTCCATTAATTAATCAGATACTTGGTGATGCATCCCAAACCATATACAATTATTTGCATTAACGATACATATGGGTCAAAAGGACTCCAGAAAACAATTGGGAGGAGCAAATCCGAAGCACTCCATCTCCGTACGAGCAACCCTCGCTATATACATACATACTATATATAGAGCGATGTCCTCAAAGCCCAGCAGCCACGTTGTCAGTTAACAAAGCTGGCTTCTCCAAGAGCGGATTATGAATGAGCAGGTAGGGCTCCGTTTGCGGGGACGGGGAGACGTGGCCACCATCGGTTGCGCCGGTGCTTCCTCGACCTCCGCCTCGCTGACTTGGTGTGCTGCCGCAGCAAGCCGTTGATCGCCTTGACGTAATTCCTGCAATCGTGGTCACGGAGGATGGTGCCTTCCGAACCGTACGCCATGGGGTCGCTCAGGGTCTCCAACGGATGTGGTGAGTTGATGAAGGCTCGCAGCGCGCTTGCGGTCGTACCTCTCGGTGAGCTCCCTCCCGCGTCGTTCTTCCCGTCCAACGCGTAGAGAGCGGCTTCCGGAGGGAGTAGCGGGTGGAAAGGCGAAGACTTGTCATCGGGCTGGAGGATGTAAATCTGGCCCAGTGGAGAATACAGAACCTTCTGCTTTACAAAAACAGTATGCAATGGTCAAAAGAAACAATCCGACAAAGAGGAACAAGTGGTCAGCGTATTATAGTACCTGATTGTTAAGGCAAGGGTGGGAGCGAAAGGCCGCGTTGAGGCGCTTGAGGACATGGGCGACGTGGTTGGGGTAATTGCAGGAGAAGGCCCTGGGGACGATGTCGCGGTGCATCATTACGGAGCGGACGAACCCCTCGTCCAACCCCAGCTCCTCCAGGACCCGCTGCCCCCCGCAGAACACGGACGGTGACCCGAACGTGACGACGGGGAGGAGTTGGCGGAGCCTGACGTCGCCTCGAGCCAGCAGCATCAGGCCCACGAGGAGGCAGAGGCTTCCCCCCAGCGAATGGCCGGTGAACCGCAGCCTGGCCCTGTCGCCGTGCCGACTGAGATGCTCTTTGATTTCCGGCAAGAATTGCTCGTAGATGCCCTTAGCCGCTTCGTAGATTCCCCGGTGCACCAGAACCTCCATCTCCTGTTCGGGGTCATGCCAACGTCAGAGCTCGCTTCTGACAGGAGCGGCGAACCATTGGAGAAATCTGGGCAGCCATACCTCGAATTTGATGGGCTCAAAGAGTAGATTTGCTTGCCAAGAAGCCAGCGAGTCGGATCCCTGCAGATCGAGACGTACGCGACTCATTGGAGTGGTGGTGGAAGTGCGGATAAGAAGGAACTTTGAGCGTCAAAGGCGAACCTGGATCACGAAGCAGCGAGTGCACGTGCTGTCGTGATCGCACACGAACCACTCGCACGGGGAGGAATGGAGGGAGCGGAGATCCTTGGCCGCCTCCTGCCTCGCCTCCTCTTCCGCCGCCACCACCGCCGTCATGGTCGACGCCGCCACGTACGCCGCCACCTCGGGGTTCTTGTAACCACATCTGTAGGGACCCGACGCGACGGCGGCGGAGGCCGCGATCTCGGCGGAGGCAGCTCCACTGCCGAGGGAAAGCAGGCCCTTGGCGCGGGAATGGATATAGGAGGCGGCGGAGGCCGCGATCTCGTAGGCCAGGGACGGCCGGCACGAATGGTTGTTGAGCTGGGCCCCCGTCGAGGTAGCGAATCCAGGAGCCGCTCGCGGGTCGCTCTCGTGCTGTGCCCTGATCGCGGCCTGCGATTTCTTCTCCAAGGACGAGGTCACGAATCCAAGCTCGGACTCCTCCCACAGCTCCGTCGCCTGTGATTCGCAGCAGCAACAGGGTAAAGATATATAATATACATTTCTTTGCACGCGATTCACACACCCATTTGGGCTCACGGTGGGTCCATTTCCGACTGTGGCACGGCCCATAATGTTATCCATGTAAATGTCCAATGTGATTCTGATGGCCATTCCGCATGAGTTCAAAACATGTCACTAAAGAAAAAGAAAAAACACGTGTCGATGTCTTCATATCGACATCAATGCGCCATACTGAAGCAACCCCCAGCTATAAGCTCTATCTGACCAATATAGTTGGACAGTAATTAGCAGCAGTAGCACAATCACGTAAACCTGCACACGACACGACGGTATCTCCCACACACAATGTGGCTATCGCAAAGGTGAGTTGTGAGAGAAACACATAGAATATGTTAAATAGTTTTTGGGACGGATCGAAAACCAAACCCGCCTTTTTCTCGTTCAGGCGTTTCGTGTGAGTTTCCTCTAAATATATATAATAGAAAACGTGGAATTCTCAAACGAATGGGCGGTTGCTTAGTTGGAGCGTTGGGAAGAAGTTACTAGTACAATTAGAGCCGTTGAAACTGAAATGGACGGGAGAGATTGAGGGGAGAGAACTGACCTTGATATCGGGGATCTCGTAAGCCATGTAACAGAGGTACGCCAGCTGGGAGAAGAGCTCCGCCTCCGACCACGGGACTCGCCCCAACAACCTGGCGAACGATTCCCGATCCCACTCGTCCCGTTGCCCTCCCACCTCCTCGTCCGTGTCGTAACTCACCCCACAGTACCCATCCTCTTCCTCGGCTCCCTCCTCCTCGTGCTTGTGTTGCCGATCCCTCCACCGCCGCCTCAGCTCCGAGATCCGCGCCACCCAATTGGCTCGCTCCTCCTGCCTGATTCTGTCCTCCTCATCCAAACCCGACACCGCCTCCTCGTCACTATCATCCGCCGGCTCCACCCTCATGCCGCCTCCCGCCTCCTCCTCCTCGAACAGGAATGACCGGATCGAGTTGGTGACGATGGATCCGAAGGGGAACACGCCGATCGATCGGCTGCTCTTCAGCGACGCCGGGGCGGCAGCGCGGGTTACGGCCAAGGAGCACCGGAGTTGCGGTGCCGACCGCGATCGCCGCATTCCCTCGCGGAGGTGATCCCTCACCGTCGCCGCCGCCGGAGACGAACCGGGCACGCTCACTGCCGCGCACGCCACCATCTCCTCCTCCGCGGACCCGGCGGTGGTTCCTTCCCTTCTCCTTGTTCTCTTCGCGGCGGACCGATCTGAAACAGGGAAGCAAATTTTAGTCGTCAAGAGGGTTCGCCTCGCTTCCCGTCCGTCCTTTGAGCCTAAACATTACTTAAATAGCACGATCGAGTATTCACGGACATCCTCATACTGGCGTAAATACCCTTCGAAAGTGCCACTAATGACATAGGGAACCCCATCCATCGACCGGTAGACATCCACATGGCCATAGTGGACGGTGGATCTACTCTCCCACATTACCAACCAACTACGGCGGGCTCGCATCAACTATACCTTCGACATGGCGTACGACGGTGGTTCGTGAATATTATAAGGGGTGGAACAGTAAAAGAAGCATGGGCCAGGTGGAGCGAACAAGGTCGCAACGAACAAGGGTGGAGTACTCGTCGCCATAGCTTAATTAATATTCATCTGGATCTCGTTCATCTCCAAGTCCATCATCAACATTGGGATGTCCACAGCCGCACCCTGTAGCAAAGAGAAACTTGAGGGAGATGAAGTGCAACAAAGCAAACGGGTGGTGACCCAGAAGAAATCTTCGGTGGTCACGTTTGTCTGAAAGCAATCGATATGGAGCTAGAAGCCATAGTCGCCTCCGATGGTGTAAGGGAAACAGACAAGGAATGGTCAAACCATCGGTCGAACAGTGTGGCGGCAACAATCAAAAGGGCAGATGGTGAGAGGCAGAGAGGATTGCCCGAGGAAAGGGAGGAAGCAGCAAGAAGAGAGAAGTGGTGGCGTGGAAGCGAGCGACTGCAGGAACTACCCCGATTAGAAGAGAGCTGTTATGGTAAAATGGGAGGAGTTACCAGGTTGCGATTAACAGTAGTGCGCTCGGCCTTCCCGCTTGCTCTGCTCTCGACGAAGGTGCCGTCATGTGCGAGGAGGGGCTGAGGTCGGCCCTCGCGAGCATGATTTATATGGGAAGATCGGAGGAAGGTGGCGAGAGGAATCTGTGCACGTGTCCGGGGAAGACGAAGGGCAAGCCCTGCATGAGAGAGAGAGAGACAGGCGTGGGCGTCAGGTTTTCTAACCTCACACCCTTTTTTTCGGCCCCGGAAACGTCGTGGAGTTTTACGTGTGCCTTCTTCTGTCCAAAGCGGAAAATTATCAACGAAATCAACTAAAAGCATATGAGAGAAACATAAAAATATGCAATAAGGTGGCGGTGGTTTGGTTTGGTCAAGAGTGTGGTTGGAAGGGCACGCTGGCCCGTTATCCCCACACCGCCGATAGCGAGAGGTGATCGCTGCTCTGTAAAGCTAACCTGACGCAGTGCCCTCCCCGCCTTAGCTCGGGCATTCGTCCAGGCCACAAAGCTCGACTAACAGGTCTTGGAACCGGCAAGCCGGAGTGTATCAACTGCCACACCCACACCCGGGTTACAAGCCACCGTGACCTGGCTCGGCGGTAACGCCAACGCCCGGGGCCTATCCCAGGCTCTAGAATATTGCAATCCGTTCCAGGTGGGACTTAACGACAGAGGGAAGCGACACCTAAATGTTCTTGCTGCTGTTCTTTATGATCGACAAACATGGGCAAGCTTTTTCTCTTCTGCAGCAAAAGATTCGACACCTGCAACATCAAAGAGAATTCCCATTGGTGGCATCAGATAGGGCTCTCGAAGACGTATACTTCATTTGAACGTGCAGTCATTACAACAACAAATTCTACTTTTTGATACGCAATAATGCAACTGAGCGCATCACCAAGTGTAGCAGTAATTGAAGTTCAACTGGAACATGAAAAGAAGAAGCTGCAGCAAGGATGACAACGATGAAAAATTGGAAATGGTGTCACTTGGAACGTAAGCCGGGGACGTTGTGAAGGCCCATCTTCCTCAGGATAAGCTTTGGTATCGCAGGAGGATCTCGGAGACCCAAGCTCTGACTGAACTCCCTTGCCAGTTCCACAAGTTTCAACTTGTCTCGGCCAATTTTCTTGTTTGAATTATAGTAACCAAGCCATGCTTGATATGCTGATTCTTTGTTTTTCATCTCCACAAGTTGCAGCGCCTGCTCCACCTGACCGAACACGAAAAGAAATTATTTGGATTTAGAATACTTGGAGACAGACAATGTAAAACAGAAGGTGAACAAGATCTTGCCACAAGTAGTTATTGGATAAGACAACACCTAGACGTACAAAATATGTGAGAGAAATTATGAGCATGAAGAACCAGCATCTTAATGAGTATAACACAAGTATTAGTAACTAAAAGTGTATCTCAATGCACGAACCAGCATCACCTCTGCAAGCAGAGAGACAACTAGGTCGCAAAAGAGCAACATTATAATGCACGATACCGAGGTTCATCAGTTCATCCTTTGCAAAAGAACCGGTAATTTTACTCTAGCAAAAACAAGATTACTATCAGAGGATTTATTTCCGTGAATTTTCAGAAGTACCGCCATCATGAACCTAGACAACTCTATGCTCTTCTTTTTCCTTTTCCTACTTTCCAATATATCTTAGTTGGTAAGTACAGAGCACATTACATATTCACATGATGTTACTAATGCTCTTAACAAGATTAGGATAAAGATAATATATGTACAACACTCACTTCCTTCATGGTGCTTCGATCCATAGAAGGTACTGGAGCCTCAGTTATTGGCAAATCTTGAACACTTGCTAAAAATAACTTCTCCCATGGTGCCAAAATCAACAAACCTTTTCCTTCTTTACCTTTCCGGCCTGTCCTACCAAGTCGATGGATATACTGTTCTCTATCAGCAGGGAGTCCCACCTACAACAAAATAAAATAAAAAATTTACAATTTTTGTGAGGATAACACCCTCAAATAGTGCATGTGGTAAGGACGGATTGGTATTTGAAAGTAATCAATAGATCTCTTTTATTTCCAACCTGAAAAGAGAATTATCCATATAATTCATAGAATTGCAAGGTATATCAATTCAGGATGTTGCATGTCAATGAGAGATGAAACATTGACAAATCAATCATCATATGAGGCACAGTAAACAAAAATCAAGACTATGAGCTACCTGTATAACAAGGGTAACATCTGGGTAATCAACTCCTCTAGCAGAGACGTCCGAACTCACAAGTATGAGACCTTTTGACTGCCTGAACTCTTCGGAGACTCTGGTTCTGTAAGTTTGTGGTTTTCTTGAATGGATCTCTCGCACATTCAGGTGCAACTTAGTAAGCAGGTCAGCGACAAGCTTTGTCACCATTGCAGTTGTACAAAATACAATCACCTTCAAGGTCCCATCAAAAGATACAGTGATGTAACAGCTGAAGACAAGACAAAAAATGCAAGGATAACCAAGATTTCAGTTACCTTATAATCAGCATCCTCCAAAATATGTTCCTTCAGGATACAGTAAAGTATAGAGAAGTGCTTATCCAACGGAGCAATCAGATGCATCTGTTTGACCTGATTAATGTGTGCATAATAACAAATTGGTGAATAGTGAATCTACAGAGGAAACCTATACTGCATGCTTCTATAAACAGCAAAGAGTACCTGTGAGTGTGTCTCTTCACTACCTTCATCCACGGTGCTGATAAATTTGTAGTCCTTTTTCAAGGCAATATGACAAATTTGACGAACCTAGATATTAAACATCATCACTCATTAAGATTTTACTATCAATGAAGCAAAAGCTGAAGAACCAAGGTCTATAGATATACCTCATTTGGTACAGTAGCAGAAAATAGAAGTGTTTGCCGCTGTTTTGGAACAGTAGCAATAATTTTCTCAATATCATTCCGGAATCCCATATCCAGCAGACGGTCTGCTTCATCAAGAACAAGAACTTTCACTCCATTTAGTCGACTGACAAATCCTGTTGTGTTCTCAATATGGTCTTTGAGTCTTCCAGGCGTGGCTATTAGAATCTGTTCAGCAGATGCTTATAAGTAGAAGAAACATAATATGCCAACATGCTATTAGAAAAGGTACATTCACATTTCATTGCAAGCATTTGCAAAATTTCACCTGGCATGGATTTGCTTGCATGTGTCTCTGTTCTTGTGTGAGTCGTGTGCCACCTATTACCACTTGCACACCAATCGAAGTATGATACTTCAAAAGTTTATTAGCCTCCGCTGCAGCTTGCAACGCCAGTTCTCGTGTCGGGCAAATTACGAGCACATTGATTGAAGGCCTTTTTTTATCATGGCTAAGAGGGGGTAATCTGGAAATAACCTCGATTGCAGGAAGCTGCAGAGAAACAACTCATATTTGGTTATAATTGGGGAAAATTCATTAGTAAACAATTGGAACCTTCAAAGAATAAATAAGAAAATGCTGATGAGCAAACGATACAAACAAAACCACAAATAAAATAAAAGGAATTGCATCAGATGAATCAGGCAACAGAAATTTTGAATTCAATACCAAAAATGCAACAGTTTTTCCCGTTCCAGTCTTTGCCTTTGCAAGAACATCTTTGCCTACAGTACGAAAGATAGCAATAACATCATCTTCCTGACAAGAGATGGGTCTTGAACATAAATTCTAGCACTTGAGCTGATAACATAAGCACAAACCGTAGATTTGCATAAAGTTCATTAGATGCCACCAATCAATTTAAAAGGAAAATCAAATTTAAAAAACAACTTTAAAGGAGGGAATCCGGATAGCTAATTTCACCTAATGTCCAGAAACTAATTGTTAAGTCAACCCTAGTTGTTTAGATATTAATAACTAGGAGTTTCTCCAGTAAAACTCTCCACACAAATTGGATGATTTAGGAACAATCCATAATTTAAGTACCCACATTAAGTAGGATAGTGACCTTTTCCTGTTCAACATTAAGTTGAAACAGCCAGAAGCAATGAAATTCAAGTTATATATCAACATTCACTTAGATAAACTCTCACATATTTTGCATCTATTTGCTTACATTACTTTTATCTATTAGCTAACAGTATTCTTTTAACTAGCTCTGAAGCTTTACAGCCACCGAATCTCCAGTGTCAATTTTATGCTGCACATTTATGCAACACTTAAGGCTTCCAGTTGTCAAGGATAATCATGAAAAAGATATTTATTGTTTATAGTTCATCGAAAGGGCAAACATTTTACTGGTACAAGTCCTGATCAAATTTTCATACTTGTGTTCATCCAACAATGACAAGATGCACACCAATTAAATCAACGTATGCTGTAAAATCAAATGCCATAGATGAATGAAGATTACAGATTCTCCCACAAGATGGCATGTAATTGGACAACATTTATTTTTACAAGATCATTCAAAAATTTCAAGAATTAACATCAGCAATGTTAATGCAATAAAATCAAATAGATCACTGCTAAGCATAAAAAAATATCACTGAATCTATTAAACCTATTAAAACTGTTATTCTTAGTTACTAGATTGACAAAAATAACAAGCCTAAAAGCCACAGCAGAATCAACCGACCTTCAAGGATCAAGGGAAGCGTTGCTTCCTGCACCTGTGTCATCATCACGTATCCAGCAGCTTCTATTCCTTTAAGCGACAAAGGAGAAAGGGAACAATTTTCGAACCTGTAGCAGACAAAAAGCAACTTTGAGGGGAAAAAAATGTTTACTGTATATAATATATGTGCAAAAGATACAAATTGGATGCTGCACTAATAGATGCCTTGTTTGAACAATTTTGAAGCTATCATAACACCATCTTGCTATTAATTTTAAACAAGTCAAAAGGTACAGAAATCTAACAGTCTGTGGCCCAAAGAACCACTTGTCATACATACTCATTGCAATGAAATGTTACCTGGTCTGGCTTAAGTAAGATTCATCTTCAGCAATTGAACTTAGTCGTCCAATTTCAGGAGAAGCTGCGGCACCAGAAGCATTGCCTGACATCCCCTGTTTTATCTTACCACCATTATTAGGAGCATCATTTATGGAGTCACATTCAACATTCCGCTCTTCCTCCTCATCTACCTCATCCAGATGACTAAAAGATCTCTTCTTGTTAAGAAGTCCTCTTGAACGCCGTAGCAAAGACTCATCCAAGCTAGGGTTTTGGTTTTTCTTTCCATTACCGATTACCTGCAAGAACTTAGAATCGCTGTCCCTGCTCCTCTTAGAGGATGCAGCATCACGAACCAAGGGCTTTGTATTCCCGCCGTCACCCCTCACCCTAGTCCTACTCTTGGGCCGACCGCTCCTCCGTCCATCTCGTTCCAGCTCCTCGGACTCCCAGTCGTCGGACCAACCGCCAACCTGGGTGTCCTCCTCAACCAGAGCCTTCCTCTTCCCGGGGGCGCCGGAGCTCTCCACCAGGAGACCCGTCCTCCGATGGCCAGCAGCGGAATCGTGACCAAGGGAGAGCAGGCGGCGAGGCCTGGCTGAGAGAGCCAGGTATTTGAGCTTGAAGGGGAAAGCTCTGCCCAGAACGGAAGCACCGCGAGGGCCGGGGTAGTCGAGCGGGCGGAGGGGAAGGAGTTGGCCCGGCATCGTCTGACTCCGGCCGCAGGGGGGAAGGATAGGGATGAGAGGTTTTAGGGACGAGCGGCGCACCGAGAGGCTGTCGCCGAAGGGGATAAGCCATCTTATATTATCGGGCCGATCATCGGTCGGATCCATGTAAGATCCGACTCCGAATAACATGAAGCCCAAAAGGAGTAATCTCATGGATCGGATGTACACGTACTATTTGATGTAGATTTTAGATCCGCAGGTTATCTGAGAGGATCTGGATCCGAAACAGAATTCTTTTGGATCGGGTTTTTTTGGTAATTGGGCTCCATTGGATTTCATGGGTGCTAAATGGTTGGCCACTGCTCGCTTCAAGCAGACCAATTGTGTCCGGCAGGGGAAGTCACCTGAGGTGTGGTCGACTGCCACCTGCCAAGACGACCGCGTCCCTCGTTTCCTATGTGGTATCTCCCGAGTGGACACCTCTCTGACCCCACCACAAACCCGTCCCCACCCCGCCCCCCAATCCCCTCTCCTCTCCACCCTCCACCTCCTCCCCCTCCCCCTCGTCCTCCTCTCCGCAGCTCCTTGATACTTCCATGAGCCGGACTGTTTCCAGCCCTGCATCATTCTCATGCAAGCGCCGCGTCTTCTCCAAAGCGACGAGTCTCGTCCATCCTTGGGCCACATGCTCCCCCTTACCATACATGGGAAGCGGCGGTGCGGCGTCGACACCTGCAGGCCCAGGCGGACTCCGCAAGGGTCACTTACCGCTCTTCCCGATCCGGCATTTGTCCTCCCCTCTTCTCCTCGCCCACGTACTCGATCAGAACATAGAATAATGCTCCGTGTCCCCTTACGTGTAGTACATGGAGAAGGCGCACAAGTTCTGGGGTGACGCATAACATGACGGGATCGCCACACTTGGAAGGCCCGGAACTCTTTCCCAGGGTCGGCAGCTGATTCGGTGCTCCCGTCCAAAATTCAAATCCCCCAGAACGGCTTCGCCGGCGCTCTTGCATCCGCAAACCGTCCACGTCGAGATAGTCTGCTGCGAGGTGGCAATGGCCCTCTCTTCATCGGAGGTTGTCTTTCTTCGTCATGCATATCACTCTCTCTCTCTCTGTCTCTCTCGGGTTTATATTATACTCGAAACTCCCGTGGTTTCTTCTTCGTCGCTATGAGAGCAAGCGGAAAGGCCGAGCAGTAGCTTATAGTAGTGTCAGTGCAGCTTGCCGTAGTAATAGTACTGATGGAGGGTGAACCGGAGCCCCCGAGCAACGAGTCACCGGACAAAATTCCTTGCAACGACCACAAAACGATCCGCCATCGACGTCTCCAGCTCCGCTGGATAAAGGCCGAAGCCAGCGCAGGAGGTTGCCCCACCAACCGTGTCAAGAACCGGAACCGGAGTTTCGGTTCCGACGCCCATAAGGCGAGCAAGGGAATTGCCCCCTCCTTGTCCCACGGGTCGGTGTCGCTAATTGGGCGGAGGAGGGAGATGGAGGACGCGGTGACCATGGCGCCCGGGTTCGCGTCGGTGGGGACCGCCCCCTCGTATGACTTCTTTGGGGTGTACGACGGGCACTGCGGGGTGAGCGTAGCGTGGGCGTGCCGGGACCGGCTGCACGTGGTGCTGGCGGAGACGGTGGCGGCGTTGGGCGAGTGGCCGACGGCGGAGGAGCAGTGGAGGGAGGTGATGGCCGCGAGCTTCTCGAGGGTGGACGGGGAGCTGGCGTTGAAGGAGAGGGAGGTGGGGTCGACGGCGTCCGTGGCGGTCGTGGGGCCGGAGCGAATCGTGGTAGCCAACTGCGGTGACTCGAGGGTCGTGCTCTCCCGCGGCGACAAGGCCGTGCCGCTCTCGTCGGACCACAAGGTATACAAGCACACACATACAAACGCCTGTAACTCGACCTGCTTAAAATCGCTGTCCGCCATTACCGTCCCATGACTTCATCATCATCTCAGATTCCTTTTACCGTTCAGTTCCAATAGGAGAATAACACTGGTGACCATGTTCTTGCACAGGCTGATAGGCCAGATGAGATGAAGAGAGTCGAAGCAGCTGGAGGCATCGTCATCAACTGGGACGTTTACCGTGTGTCAGGCGTTCTAGCCACTTCTAGATCCATAGGTACGACCTCGCCGTGGACTCTGGATTCATGAAAGACTGCCTTTTAACAGACGGTTTCGGTCATGTTGCAGGCGATCATTACCTGAGACCATATGTGATCGCAGAACCAGAGGTCACGGTGACGAACAGGACGGAGGAAGACGAGCTCCTGGTTCTGGCCAGCGATGGGTTGTGGGACGTCATCTCCAACGAGGTGGTCTGCAAGGTCGCGAGGCAATGCCTCAGCGGACAACTGGTGAGGAAGGTGCCTGACGGCGCCAGAGAACACAGAGCTAAGGAGGCCGCCGTCATCCTGGCGGAGCTCGCCTTGTCCAGAGGAAGCAGGGACAACATTAGCGTGGTGGTGGTAGAGTTGTAACTATCGCCTACGTAGGACGGTGCTTGGTGTTTGATCTCGTCGTCTTGTCGGTGGTGTCATGCGATGCGATGCGATGGCCGAACTCCGGAGGTGTGCGTTCACGTTTCCAATCCTTATTAGCGTTGTAAGGTTAACCTCTTCTTTCTCTGTTCTTTTTCTTTGGTCTCTCTTCTTTCATGTTCTTCGATATGCAGCCATGCTTTTTCTTCATCTTCTGGGATGCAGCACACAAGATTTAGGGTTAATGTTTTTTGCATAGATAATGATTGCAACATAAGCTAGTTGACAGGCAGGCAATTCAAACTTGATAGCTCAAGAGCTACACAACGAAGCCTCAAACCTGAAGGAAAACGAAAGTTAAGCTTTGTGCCATCTGACGCATGGCTCTCATATGCTAGACTCGACCCACACGATGTAATCTGCTCATCGATGACATGCATCAATCTACCACTCTGTGTAACCCTTTCTTCATCTTTACTGCCACAGACATGACAAAGAGCATACAGAGAGCAAGAGCAATAAAACATCATAAGCATAGCAAATCACATAAACAGCAAAAATCCAAGGAAATCCATAGTTAAAGAACAAAAAATCTAATGAGTTTCTGATTTATACAATTTGATTCGAGCGCATCCAATTCAACTAAATAAGCACTTGAAAGAGGTAGTGTCAATAAACATCTATAATAATTTGAATAATACTTTGGAGTATAGAGCTATGGCCATAGTGACAGAGAATCCTAAATCTCCTGAGGGAAAAGGAAGGTGGTTTGCCAATAATTCAGCACATCGCCACAGTAACACACCACAGTTCTTATTCCTTCAAATCTGATGCCTCCTATGCCCCCGTTCTGGATACGCTGGTTTGGGTTCTGTACTTCGTGATGAAGACAATACTATCAAAGCTTCGGTTCGTATTCCTTGCAAAGCCGAATGAATGCATGACCATTTTTGCCGGATTGTTAAGAGCACAACAGGGAGGAATCACCAATCTGAAAGTGAAATCGGACTTCTTACAAGCCATCAGCTACCTCAAAAAGACCACTCTCTCTGACTGCTTTACTTTAGCAACTCATGTCGATTGAACACGATGAACCCATATCAAAAGAGCATTCTCTGTGACTGCTTTACTTTAGCAACTCATGTCAATGTAACTCGATGAACCCGTATCAAAGGGGAGGATAACAAATCTGCTCATGATGTAGCATACCAAGCTAGAAACAATTTGTAATCACTCACTATGAAGTGCACCCTAGCAGAAATCCTCCAGCACACCATCCTTTTTGTGCTGACTCTACAACTAAACTAATATAGTCTCTTTCTTCACAAAAAAAAAAACACTGAGCTTAATCCTACATAAAAGTCAGAATTCCTTATCGATGATCCACGTTTACAGTATCATATAAAATATGCAAAGGTCTTGTAGCACAATTGTATCAAACATAGCAAGCAAAAGGAGCCAATGATCAGAATGTAGCAGAACTAAACACCTCTATGTCAGAACAACTGGAACACTTAACCAAAACCAACCTGGGATCCTCTCCGCTACTCCTGTTAGGTTCAGCTGTCATAAACTGTTGAAACCCTAAATTGGACATAAATCCCCAGGGACTGCCTCATTATTGCTCTGTGTTCCCTGACTAAACCGGCCAGCACATTTTCCACTTCAGATCAATGGCCTATTCTCACGTCTTTATCCAACAAGTCATTGTATTTTATGAGCTGGATCAATCCTTAGGACAAGATTGATATCAATCCATCCAAGAGTTACCATTAGTGCATTACATGTAAAAGAATCAACCATCCAATGAACACTGGGCAGCTCAACTATCAGAAGCCATTTACGACCATGAGAGATCACCACAAGACCAAACTAAAACTTCACATTAACATATTCTTCAGACATCTTCCTGAACCAATGATCTTTTTTGATTTGCGTAGACTTCACACTTGAGGTCATCAAATCACAACCTTTGATGAACTCAACAATGCCAGTCTCTGTCTTCGACAAGATTTCCAAGCGGAAGATATACATCTGGTGACTTCACACTTGAGTGTTGCCTGTTCACGTGCTTATCAGGTCATCATCATATTACATCTTAAAATCATTCAAGTGTTTGTCTTGCTCCTTCATGTACTAGATAGTTCCACCAGAAATGAAATCAAAATATCATCAACCTTAGGTTGACAAAAATCTCAATTTCATATTTGCCTATAATCCCAACAAAAAGAACAAATCTTTAAGGATAGCACTCATTACACTAAAAAAACCAACTTTATCAAAAATAAAGATCAGAAAAATAACAACTGATTCAAGAATGTAATTGGATCAGAAAAACCTAAAGTTGCAAGCAAAACTTATATACAGTTTCAGATTTCAAGAATGCATTGGGAATGATAGAGAACCTAAGCCACCTGGTAAGATTCACTGAATGAAGGAAGAAAGCTTGCATACAGTACAAGATAATTAACACTGAACGAAATAAGAAAAAGGAGGAAAGGAACGAAGATCACTCATAAGCCACAAAGTAGGAAATGAGAAGGAAAACGGAGGAAAAAAAAGGAAAAGGAAGTCAAGAAACGGACCTAATATTTAAGAAAGAGGGATCAAAACCCCGTCGCCGCCGCATCCTCTCTTCTACATTCTCTTCTTCCCTTGCCTCCGCCTCGGCTAGAGTTATCGCAGCCAAGGGGAGGGAGTCACTCACGGATCGCACGAGTCGGCCAGTTATTGATACGTCGGACCGTCAATTGTATGGCTCGATTGCGGTCCACAGCGGTCTAAATTTCCGGTCGAATTCCATCTCCAACGAGTCCCACGAAATCGAGACTCAAAAATTTACTCCATCAATCATTGGGTACAACGGTGGATCCCAGGAGTTCATCGAATAACCAGTAAAAGGTGTCACTCTTCGCTCTTCTCTCACTACGAACGTAACACACAGCATTCCAAATCTGATCACCAGCAGAGTAAGAGGCTTCTGCAGGCAGCAGTGAGGCTTCCATCGGCAGACTGCTTTGAACTCATAGCTTAAAGACTGCGTTTGCTTCCAGCCAAAAATCGTAAGTACTGCAGTGATGCCAAGTGAGATGCTTAAAGCAGCAGTTAATCCTCCTTTAACTACAGATTAAACCATCAACATACAGAACTGCGCTCATTGTTTATGACTAGATCTTGCACCAATCAGTGTGCATTAGAATTTAAAGCATTTTTATTTCCCGTATATTGAGCAACAAAATGGAAGTCATAGTTAATATACAGATAAGGAAACTGAGACTCCTCTCAACAAGATCAAACACATCTCACCATCAGTGACTGCAACAAGAACTAGGCTGTTCCTCGCTAAAATAGTCGGAACAAGACCGGCCAATCCCTCGAGTTTGAGAAGCAAAACTCCATTTCTCGATCAATCGTAGAGGGTGAATTGAACAAGAACAAATATTAACATGGCCAAAACAACAAAATCATAAGAACACAATATCCCTGTCAATCGGCTCAAGTCGTCATGCGTGCACGCCATTGCCATTGGAATGGAAGTTTCCGTTTGCTAGGCTCTTGGAATGCTTCTTTAAATTCCCATTCTGGTAAGCCTTTGTTGAGACAGGACCAGTGTTTGAGATACATCTTGATGTTAAGTTGCCACGATGAAGAATGTGTCTCAGCAAAGAGTCCAGCTGCCTGCATGAGGCCGCTATGAGTCCTGTCAAACAAACTCGTAAGAGTTACATTTTAATTCGATTCACTTGTACTGACATGAAGCCGAGCAATCTAACTTCTACGGAGACAGTACCTAAGAAAAGTGCAGATGGTTTTCCAGGTCTAGATTTGAACTCCGGATGAAATTGCACACCGATGAAATAAGGATGATCAGCCAACTCGATGATCTACATCAATTTATTTTAAATATCACCAAGGAGGTTCACAGATCATAGACCCACAAGAAACTCTGTCAAATACATACCTCCATTCGCTTTCCTGTTTCATCTTGACCAACAAAGGCAAGGCCAGCCTTTTCAAACTCAGGAACCATCTCCGGATTTACCTGTAAAAATAACAGCAAAATTGGCATCTAGAGTATGAGCATAACATTTGAACATTGTACTGCTGACTTATAATTAAACTAACCTCGTATCTGTGACGATGTCGTTCATCAACAAAACTGGCATTGCCGTGCCTAGTAAAAGAGAGAAAAATAGAAGTTTGTCATCCTATGAAACAAGAAAAAATATATAATTGAAATTTATAAAGAAAACAAAAACTCAACAGGAATATCTACACTTACAACTTTGCAGCTTTACAGCTGGGAACCTTGAAATATGTCCTCCTTGATCCAAGTCTCATTGTCCCTCCCATATGAGTTTTTGATCCCTTTATATAGCATGCAAGATCTGTGAGGTAACAGAACACATCTACAAAGCAAGATAAGAAAATCCAGTATATTTACTTACCTCAGGCATAAAAATAACGCATGGGGTTGTTGTATCAGGGTTAAACTCTGTGCTGTTTGCATCTGGCAAGTTCAAAACTGAACGAGCAATCTCGATTACAGCAATCTGCATCCCAAGACAAATGCCAAGGTATGGCACTTTGTGTTCACGAGCATATTTAGCAGCAAGAATTTTTCCTTCCACCCCTCTGTCTCCAAAACCTCCTGGGACTAGTATACCATCTGCAGCCTGAAGTACAAGTTTGTCGAGATGACTAGCAGAAACAGCAAAAACCTTGAACCACTAAATATAGCAATGACACTCTTAATGCGGATTCTGAGAATTCAAGATAGAGAGGAAGATACTCACCTTTAATAGATCCCATGCTTTTTTATGAACTTCGGGTGCCTGTGTAAGAAACAAATAACCAAATCTTTTGGGTAAGAAAACCAATGTATAGCCAAAAGGAAAAAGAAGATTGGGTAAACATGACAAGCAAACCTCTACTTCTGTATGTTTTTCGAGGTCAGGAGATGCTACCCAGTCAACAACCAGTTTCCTTTGGCAAGCAACAGATGCATGCAAAAGTGCCTGACAGACAGATTGACAAGCTAATCAATGATATCTAACTAGATATCTACATAAAGAAGATCTGATACATGCAAATATGCAAAAACTTGACAAATATCCAAGTAATGTGAAAAAAAAGTGAACAAAAAATTTTCCAGACTAAAAACACGTAAAACCTCAGACATGTTCTGCACATACAAAACATGTCAATTCTAACTAATTCCTTGCCACTAAGCAATTGAATTACTGGAACTCAAAACACCAAAGAACTCTTTAGTCTGCATATCTTAATTCTGCCAATGGTGGTGGCAAGAAAAGGTGCATCTTACAAAATGATTGATGCAGATCGACATATATGGAGATCAAAAAGAACATTGATAGCATCTCATAAGTTATGTATATATTTCACCTTTAATACTGAGAGGTACGAATCAGCAAAGCCAGTATATTTACCAACCATTGCAATCCTAACCTGGAAGTCAATGATAAGTGCACTCAGCAGCCAAAGAAGCAACAGCACTTTCTAGGGAAGGGGGAGGGAGAAAGATATATAATATATGTTATATATATCAGAGAGAGAGAGAGAGAGAGAGAAACTAACAGGATCCTGTAAAGTGTCACAGATTTCTGCTCTTCTCATCCACTCTTCCAACATGGGTTCCTTGGCAAATCTGTACAACTCAAAAACAAAGAACTTGTAAAGTGCCTTGGAATCTCATCACAACATGAATATGCATAATCAAATGAAAATGAATATGTTAAGTGCATTATACAAACCGTTTAAGTTTCAAGACTTTAATGAGAGCTTCATCTGCCCTTTGTTCCTTCAAGGACAATGCATTTATAGGACAAGTTTCAGCGACTGAAATAATCTCTTTGAACTTGCATATATAAAATTTATAACACTGAGAAGTATGAGAACTCTACCATCAACAATAATGGAATGTGCCAAATATTTGTAACATCATGAAGAGTGACGATATTTGATACCTGCAAAAATTTAAACAGAGGAAGGTTGATCATTCAGCACCAAGTCAACTATTAAACCGTTGACTAAACAAATGACATGATTTCAAAATACCGGGACATGACAAAACTGTGAAAGCTTTTCTTTAACATTCTCCTCCAGCGGCTGCCAAAAAATTGAAGTAAAACTATCAGGGACTAACATAAGATACACTAAGCAGAAGCCTGAAAGGAGATAGCAGCGGGATGAGAAGGATGGAGTACAGACCTTAGCACTGCGGCAGGCAAGAATATTCGGTGTAAGTCCAAGTGCTCGTAGGCTCCGAACACTATGTTGGGTTGGCTTAGTTTTCTAGAAGAATATACAAGTACTTTTGTCTTTAATCATGGATAAAGATATTACATAAACTAATTTTTACAAAGACTGATTTGCCAGCACTTGCATAAAACTGTAGCTGTTCTTTATTTATTACCTGCTCACCAACTGTGTTCAAAACTGGTACAAGACTAACGTGAACCAGACAGAAATTACCAGGACCTGTACAATGCCATTAAGAGAATATCACATAAAGAATCACAAGAAAAAAGGTTAATGCTGAAGGCATCATGACAAGCAGGTGCTGGTACAGCCTCTCACCTACACGGTAAGAAAATTGACCCAAAGCTTCAATAAATGGCATTGATTCAATATCACCTGTATCAACATGATGCTGTTCATTAATATTATAGCATGAAAAGATTATGTGTGGACCATACACTAGCAAACATAACACTGTTTGTTAATATTACGGCATGTAAAATTGTGTGTGCATGTTGCACTAGCATACTTAGACAACTATCAACCATGCAAAGTATGACATAAGATTACAAAATAAAATTCTTCACAAAGTAAGGATCCAACTAACACATTGTTTTGATTCTCAATTTTAAAAAAATTCTAAAGGCGACTTTCACCTATAGTTCCACCCAATTCTATAACACAAACATCAGCTGGTCCTTCTTTGCCATCCACAGGTATCATTGCTACACGTTCAATCCACTCTTGTATGGCATCTGTAATGTGTGGGACAACCTTAAGGGAAAATTAACACAATGATCAGGACTACTAAGAAAAAGTTTGACAAATTTGATAATCTAGAAGATGATTCTAACATGATTCACACCTGCACTGTTTTTCCCAGATAGTCGCCCTTTCTTTCCTTATCAATGACAGACTGCCACACAAAAAAACACAAGAGCAACAAAATGAAATTTTAGGTTAAAAAAGTACAGAAAGTTAAAAATGATATGATATGGGAAAACCATGGTTGATGTTAAAATCTTATTTCATAAATCATATATCAACATAGGACAGCCAAAATTGACGAGTACCTGATAGATCTTCCCAGTAGTGATGTTATTGTCGCGAGTTAACTTGATATCAAGGAACCTTTCATAGTTTCCAAGATCCAAATCCACCTACAAACCACCAATTATGTAAAGCACAAAAAAAGATTCATTTGAGAAATTGAGAAACAAGGCAGGACTTATATAATTTGGATAATAATCAAGTGGTGTATTTGATGGCCAGTTAGGGTCGATGAAGGTCGTTATGTAACAAAGAAGCAAGCACAACAGACGTGTAAACATGCAAATCTCTTTACCTCACCACCATCATCCAAGACAAATACTTCCCCATGCTCAAAAGGTGACATCGTCCCAGCATCAGTATTTAAATAAGGATCTGCAGAAATTCCATCATAAACAACAAACACAAGTCAGCTCTGTCAAAAGAAAGAAAAGAAATGACATCAAAAACAACCGAAAAAGCAGAGACAATAGTTGCATAGGACCTAAGCAGGAACATGTAAGTCATATGAAAGCTTGGTTTTGTTTCTCACGTCGACCTGAGTCAAAAAGCCGTATTCGGTGGAACCCATTGGTTTATATTTGAGGATTGACTACAGAAACCCTCTACCAATGGGCAAATGAAGAAGGCATAGACGAATGAGACATCCTTATCCCTTCTTTATTTTGTCTTGGCTCTGTATCACTGTTATTGATAGAACCTAACATTGATAAATTACAAAGGACTAAGAGCATGCTAAATCATTAGAGTCTCGTCCAAAATAATAAAAGCAAGATCAACATAAAACCAAGACTCATGTCCACTTGCCACTGGAAGGTATGACCATCAATTGCTGCCCAAAAATACGATCTTTACCCCAAATTAAAATAAAAAAAATACCGCGTCTAATAGAAATTGAGACGAAAACACAAAGGCCAAAAACCACTCGTGACCCAAGAGAACCTCATTAAGGTTAATCCCGCGCCGGAGAGAGGGCAAAAAGATCAAAGACGGCAGAAATTCCAAAAGAAACGGTGGGCAAAAGGTATTCTTTTCCGACGATGTTCGCATCCCAGGCAAAACTCGTAAAAGGAACCCTCTTTTATCCAGGAGGAACAAGAATGGTGAAAATTTTAGGAGAATAGGAGGCAAGCATCGACGCTGATGATGCCTCACATCGCAGGCAAGCCTCATTACAGAAAAAGGACAAAGAGAAGAGGGAAAAAACTCCTTTTTCCCCCAACGGAACAACAAAAAGAAGAAAACTTGGTCGCAGATTCGAGGAGAAAGGGTAGGCATGTACCGATCTTTATGGAGGTAACGCGGAGGCCGCATGCCTTGAGGACAACTCCAATGCTGCTCGCCGTCACCCCCTTCCCCAATCCACTCACCACTCCCCCCGTCACCACCACGTACTTCATCTCCCTCGTCACAAGCGGAACCCAAAGGAATCAAAGAAGAAGCGCGAACGCGAGAAAGAGAACGTCAAAGCTCGACGCGAGAGAAGAGCGGGAGGCGCTGCCAAGAGGTTCCCGCTCGCTCCCGGTCGCCTCCCTCCTCCCGTGTCCCGTCCGCGGTAAGAAGAGCGGAAGATGGAGCGGATAGGCCGCTGAGGGAGGGGATTAAATAACACTCGCAAAAACCCTCGCCATCCATACTTAATATAATATATATATATATATATATATATATATATATATATATATATATAATTAATTTAAAAAGGTGTGTATATATATATATCATATAAAAGATTTATAAGATATTTCTTTTTTGACCTCACATTGTTCTCCGAGAAATCGAGCCGATTTGAGTTTGGTCGGGGAAGGGGTGAATCGTGTGGTTTATGTTTAGTTGTTATTTGGGTTTTAATCTATTATGATGTAAGTGATTGCTGTTTATTTTACCGGTTTGATAGCGAAATATATTTATCGTATATATTTTCATGTCGATTTACCGACACCTCGATATAAAGTGATCGACACCTTAGTATCATGTTTCAGTATATATTTATCGTGGACCATACTATATGTGATACTATGCTTGATATTAATATATGTTTATAAATATAATAATTCTAAAGTTAAAATATAAAAAATAATTTCATATTGGCATTTCAAAATACATACTTAATTAGTGATTTTAAATTTACAATTTGACAATACCTCAAAGAAACAAATATAAAATTAGACTCTGAATAGCTTCGAGAGTATTCAATTTGGATAATCATGTTTCATCTAATACCTATATCCTTTATTAACATAATATTAAAGACTTTATTAAACCGTCGTAAGGTCTTTTATGAAATTGTCTTCTCAATGCGATCATCATCAAACCCTTAATTTTCAAAAAAATGAATCTAATATATTTTCATCGTATTAATATTTTAATTATGAAAATACATCAAATAAATTCTCAAACCATCAAATATTAATATTTGTAACATTGATCTTTGTTGAGGTATCATAACAAATAAAAAAACCTTTTTTATTTTTTTGTTATAGTGTTTATGCATAACAAGCAAAAAATAAAAAAATAAAAAATATTTCAAATTTTTTGTTCAAAGATAATGAATACATTCATTGTTTCCATTGGCTCATTTTAATAAAAATCTAGAAAAACATGATTAAAAATCTTTTGTTGTAGTGTTTATGCATAGAAAGCAAAAATAAAAAAAAAAATATTTCAAATTTTTTTGTTCAAAGATAATGAATACATTTGTTGTTTCGATTGGCTCATTTTTAATAAAAATCTAGAAAAATATGATCGAAAATCTCTTCATAATAGAGAGAATTATTTTTAATCGATTAATCGAAGATATCAACCGATTGACTGATAAAAACTTTTAGCAAAATCTTGAAATGAGAATTTATTATTATTATTTCCGTAAGTCCAATCACAACAACATGAAATGAGATTCCATCAATCCTCTATCATCACAAGTGATCGTTGCGAGAAGAAGATGCTATATTCCTTCCATCGCCCTTTCTTTTCTTTAACCGCGTAGCCTTTCGCTAAAGCTAGAAAACGAAGCACGATGGGATGGTCAGCGAATGTCGATCGTTGCAAGATTACCAAACAAAGAAGAACGATCAATAAAGTTAGATTGGTCTCTTTCTCAGCTTTCCGAAAGCGTGTGTGAAGAGTGAGCAAAGTCATCCATGTTTGAATGAGAACAGAACCCATAAATAAAAACTGATTCTTCTTCTTCCCTTAGAAGCAAAGAATCCAGTACGTCAAAAAAAAAATATCATCGACGTTTTAATATAAGATGACATGGTTCAGACTCTAACATAGAAACATACAACTTCTTCTTAAGTATGAACTATACAAAAATCGAGATTACGAAAAGTTATCCGATCAAACTCTTTGATACTTAAGTTAGTAATATGAAATATTAAAAAAAAATTTTATTTTTCTATATTAAAGATAAACTTTTATATATAATCGTAACGAGCACAAAGAAAGAAAAATTATGATTATCTTTCTCCTCATAAATAATCGTAATGAGCACAAAGAAAGAAACTTATAATTACCTTTCTCGTCATGATGATATGGATGATTAATCGATAATGTATCATCTCTTTAGTTTTAGTTTAATATAGAGAATCAATTATGGCAAAGTTTCATGGCATGACTTATTCTCCTTCTCAATATATATCATTCTAGTTAATCATTTTTTTATTATAAGTGTTGTTTGAAACTTGAAATTATGTAAAATTTGATTATATAATATACGAAGTCTTATCTTTAAATATTTAAAAAGATTGTTTCCATTGGTAATATTTAAATGGCTTACCCAACCTTTTTTTTTTTAACTCGAACAAACTAATAATTAGAAGTGATTATATTGATGTTTAGGAAACTTCTATTATATTTAACAGCTAATTCTTTTTTAAGAAGTGAAAACTCGTAGGTAACTCCACATACTTGCAATGTAGATGAGTGCTATCTTATTATTAAATATTAGACCCAATCCTAATTAATATGTCAACATATGCTAGACTCACTCAATATCGAAAAAATTAATGTAAGATAAAAATATGAACTATTTAACAAATAATTCAAACATTTTTTTCTTTCAATAACAAATAAAAAGATGTTGTAAGTCGAATATTATTGCTCGACGTGAAGGACGATAGAGTTCAAACGGAATCAGTAAGATCTTACAAAACTAAGTCAATGATATATTTGATAATGAGCTTCTTCGACGCTTAAGTTAATAAAAATAAAAATATATAACAGGGGATTTAAAATATTAAAAGATTATCCCATTAACTAGAATAATTCTATGAAATTATCAAAACTTACTCAACGTAAAGGGTCGATTTTGAAGTTATGTCCTATTCCTTTTGAATCTTTGCTCCTATCTCCTTATCTAAATCCATGTCGTTGTTGTCTTGTTTATTATTTCTACACATGCATGCCAAGTGCACTGTCTTCAACTCCTTCCTGCATGGCGCCAAGTCACACATATCAAATTTCTTATATTATATCTGTTCTTGGCTTAGAGAGAGAGAGAGAGAGAGAGAGAGAGCAGTTGTTGCATGATGCATGCATTCATAAACCAATTTGTGAGTCCAAAACATCACATGTTATGCCGTCAATGTAATGAGGCGCCGTCACCGCCGCTTGTTTTTGGCTCATAAATACGGTATCCTGATGTGGAGTCGACGTGGCATTTGCCAACGTGGTACTGACTAAGAAAGTTAGTCATGACTCCATCACGCCTTCAATAAAATCATTAAGATGATATTACTATAAGAGCTTGCGTTTGATTATGACTAAGATTAAATTTGTTCGGTTATTAGGTTATAAATAATTATATTCATTAAATATTTTATCTTTATAATTGCTATACATTAATTAATAAGAATTATGGTGAGAAAAAAAAAGCATAAATAAGAATTCATATTTATAGCATATATGATCTTTAAAGTTTAATTCAATATAAACACTCCTAACCCTATAATTATTTATTTTATTTTTTGTAATTAAAATTATCTGTTCTCGTTCTCGGCAAGTGACACTCTCGGACTGTCCGAGTCCGAGTCTTCAGTGCTGCTCTGAGACTTGTCGTGCTACAGCACCAATAGCAGCGATGATGGAGGCGACGACCGAGGGGCGGAACCTTCGCGGATCCGACTCTCTGGTGGCGAGCAAGCCCCTGCCGACACCAGCAGTGTCGGAGGCCCATCACCACGTGGCACAGCGGAGGAGGTCATCTTCTCAACGGGAGCAACTACCGCTGCTCGTCTGACGCGCTCCGAATCTCTTGGGATGGTGACATCCCCACCGCACCATCCTTGGACGGCGACTTCCCCGGCACAGGCTCGCGTCCGCCACCGCCATCAACTTCCCATTCCGCAGGCATCGCACGTTGCATCATGAGATGCCAGATGCTGCACCCATTAGTATCGCCCACGATGCGTGCCTCCTCGACATCTCTCGGCTTCTTCGGCTCCTCTGATTAACCAACGCGGGAGGAGGGATAGGATAATGTCGGCGGTCTTATTCTGCGCGCTCTGTTCCATCGCGTTAGATAAAAGCTTCGATGTTGAGGCTTGTCAGGGTGGTTGACCTTTCCAGAAAGGTGCGTGGATCTTCACCGCGTGCCGACATGTCGACGACCGGGCTCTTCCGTGTCTCACCGCACCACTGCTTCGATCGAATCGTGGTGGACCATACGAGGATCGAGTTGTTTAGTCTCTCTTTTCTTCTTCTTCCTCCCTCCCACCCCTACTCGTCTCTGTGTGCGTCTGTGTGTGTATCAGTGTGTGTGTGTGTGTGTGTTTGACTAATCTGGGTTTGGTTGACCAACCTGGATTTGTCGGTCTCCGGCGCGACACAACGGTGAGGCGTCGAGGCTGCGTCGGCACGGGCGGAGGCAATGGACGACAGCGTCATGGCCGTGGGGTTCTACGCCGGTAGGTGGGTGGGCCACGTCTATCCCCGCCGCATCTCTCGCGTCTGCTTGCTGGTCTCTCAAAAGGAGACACTGGGAAACAACGTGGATTGGGGTTTTAGGAGACCTGCGATGGTGACGACAACATGAATCCACGGCGACACGGTCTGTGGGACACATCCCTGACTTGTGAGTTTGGAGCCATCTGAGGTGCGTTCTCCATCTACTTTTCACCGCCATTCTCACGTGTCGTGTTCACGTCCCAAAAGTCCGCAACTGATGTAATTTTATCCTCCTTTCTACAGTCTCCTTTGCCTCTCTCTCTCTCTCACCGAGCATTTTGACAAGAAATGCAGGAGGGACCTTGTAGACATGGAGATGAATGCTGTGAGTATCTCCTCCACTGAATCCATAAATCACATCCGCAGACCAAAAGTTTTGAATCTAGATTTAGGCATCTGAATTTTATTTGACATTACAAAAGAGAAAAAGTTCTCATTTCTTTACATTTGTCTAAACCATTCACAGAACCACTGGTTTCCGAAGAAAGATCTGAGCAACTATAACATTAACAAACTTTGAGGGGAAGATGCACAGGCAAAATTTCCATTTACTTCCCATCAGAATTTCCACATTTTAAACAGTAAATTACTGTATGCATAAAGAATACATCTTCTTTTTAGATCTATCCTGACCTTTTATATGGCCAAAAGGGAAAATCCACATCATTACCATTCAACTCAATAATCCACCTTGGACTTTATTCGGTCGGCTCTGATAGGGGAGGTTGCTCTGATGATCCTTGCTATGATTTTGATCATCCTGCATTCCCTTGATTCCTTCGATGAACTCTTCCAATGGCAGTTGCAGGAGGTGATCCAGTTCTAGGAGTTGGCTGCCCATGGTGAGAAGAGGCGAATATGAACTCAAGGTCGGTTGTTTTAGTAGTATGACCACTGGAGATGAAGTGACTTGTACTTGAGTCCGAGACTGATTCTCCAGCGACTGATGCATATGCAGGATTCAACTGACCAAAAGATTGGCTATTCATGGGCACACCAGTCTGTTCATTGTGGCTTCGATTGCCCAGTAGAAGATTCTATGCTGCTCATGCCGGATCCTGATATATCATGACTCTGTGTTGGTACAGTTACATACGCTAAATTGCTTGCAGAATTGCTTGGCTTTGGTGGCCAATTGGCAAAAGGATCCAAATTGTCGAAAGCACTATTGAAAATCGCTGCGGGGTTCTGCTTCTCATTAACGCTCAACTGTGCACCAAACCCAGAATACGAATTTGAAGGAGGCCATTCAATGTCAACAGGAGTGCACGCCATGGAGGTTTGGTGGATAGGCACGGCCAAAAGAGACTGCAAGGGAATAGCAGGCTCAAGTGCTGACTGCAGAATCGGAAATGATTGTTCAGGCTGATGGCTGAACTCCGTAGGAAGTGAAGCATTGGTAGTCTTCTTTACTGTTGGACCCCAGTCTTCATCGCATGAGGGCCTGCTCTTTGTCAATGAGTTTTGTGCACTAGATTTTGGTAATGGTTCAGAACGAAGCTCGTTGGCTAACGCAGATGACACTTTGACTTGTGAGGCACCAGAATCAGACATGGTCGCACCACGTTTCTCTTCTATCTTACTGCAAATACAAGATAAATATAACTCAATTGCTTCTAATAATTATATTAAAGAAAAAGATGCAGATGTATTTACAATACCTTATGATATCCTTAATGAAGAGTACGTACTAAGTGAATTGCTGAACATTCAATTGCTGGGCAGTACGCAGTGGGAAAAGTAGGGAAAGCACGTGCTCAATGGCAAATTCTGTGCCATGCTGAATAATAAAAAGCCGAGAATTGTGAAGCTTGGAAAAGATGGCACATCTAACGTGTGATGTAAATGGAATGCGGTAACCATTCAATGTCAGCTGCAAGAATAAGCTTAACAGAGAATAGTATCTAGGAGATAAATGCAGCTTTGCATACCTGTTTATAAATACAATTTGCCACTCCCAGTGTGCACGAGGGTGGGTGTCGAGTAGTCGATAGCGGTACAACGTTGAAGTGCTAGCAAGATGTCCAAAATCGCAAGTTTATCGAGTGCTGAAACCAATTCCCCTAAGCAATGCAGAGCATTTACTCTCATCTGTTGATTAAACAATGAGAAAAATATGAATACCCAACAAAACCAAAATGAGCATGTTTTGTACTTCCAGTCGCACAGATCTGAATTTCACAATAACGGTGACAAAACCAGAAGAAGTCTGAGACTGCAAGGATTTAGAAAACAGAACACCATACTGTATGTAATGACAGAACTTTGGTGCTAAACATAATAAAGGTACTACTTTACAAGGTATGCTTCCAGGAAAGAGAACTAGGAGCCTGAAAAACCTCTACTTACCGCAGCAACTGTAGTGTTCAGAGCCAACCCATGAACACGAAGTCCCATGGCTTGATTCACTAGCTACAAAAGAGAATTTAGTGAATCGGTGTTACCTGTCGCAATAGAAGTTGAAAATGGAGAATAATCAGGATAAGATATCCACCGAACAACATGGTAACTGATTTAAATAAAGGTATAGGGCAACTTAAATGTCAATAAATCCATTCACTAGGAAATAAAATATAATAATTAAAGCACATCTAGTCATATATCTAATAAACTTGATTTGTATTGGTATCAGTCAAGACTGATCCAATTTAAGATTGATTTTTTTCAATTTTGTCATGAAATTGTCTGGAATCGGCTAGAATTGATCAAACTCGGTATGTAACTATCAACTTCAAAAGAGAAAGAAGTGGAAAGGAGCAGGAGGTCAATGGCTACTGCAGGTAACAGATACACAGGAAGGAGAATAAAATGGGAAACTGAGAAAAGACAAGAAAAAGTGTGATAGGCTTGGGCAATCGTGGGTTGGAAGAATTCTCAAAGATGGATGGCCTATAGGATCACCACATGAGGTACCAACAGGAGCTTTTCAGTGCGATTAAGGGATGAAAGATTTGACATTCGTGAACACACAATCACATACAGAGGCCCTACAGACTATGGATTCCACACTTATGTGATGGCTGAGGTAATAATAGCAATCAGCATCATCAGAAAGAAACAATGCTGTTGAGCCAGGTCCACGATCAATGGGCACAAGACACACAAAAAGGAAAAAAGAAGGAAGCAGTTGATAGAGTTCGATTCAAAGTTGATGAAATAAAATGGGGAAGGGGAGGTTTAAAAGATCTATACCACAATGTGTGGATGTTTATTAAAGAACTAGTCAGATCAAGTCCAGCTGCTCAACCTTTACACATGAACTTGAACCCTAAGTTTGAACAGAGACGATTTTTAAACTCCAGGACAATATGAGTTGGCATAAACATACCCGAGCTTGTCCAAGTTTGAATTAGGGCCTATATGCCTGAGCGGTAGCTCAAAAAGGTAGCAGTTTTGAAATCTAAGAAGAATTGTAAAGATTGCAACATTTTGTTTATCTTTTTGTTTGTAAGTCATTTATCTATGCTTAAGAAATTATAAAAGGATATATGCATGTAGGAGTATTTACCAAACAATGGTCAATATTCAACACCTTCATATAGAACTCAGAAGATCATGCACATGTTATTCATGCATGCAAAATATTATGATCCCGACCTGCATGTTGAGTTGCCTTGCCAAGGGAACAGTTCTCCGCAAACCTCTTCTTGTATTCGGGGAACAGAGTCATCATAAGCTCGAACAAACAAAGGAAGGACATAGGATATCAAGTCATCTTGGCTTGCCTAAAAGAAGTAGATCCGACAAGAGGGAATACATGACGGAAATATATGAAAATAAAAAGAATACTTAGCGTGCACAAGAAGATAGCATAACTACCAAAGCCCATTTCTGAAAACCAGCAACTGACCTGCACAATCTATTTAAATCTACATGTCTAAATGAAATTAAAAGACATAAGAACAATCTAAAATGTCCATTGTCTATAAATATAATCTGATTACTAATACGCATTATTTATTAAGAGAATGGCTCATGAACCAGAATATGTAGGAACTTGCACGGAAAGAACATTGCTTGTTTAAGCTTAGCAATCTTAGTACAACAGTTCCCCTCGTCTTATATTGCTAAACTTGCCTAGTTCAGGCCAGTAGTTTTCAAGGTCAAAGTGGCATCATTAGTGGGTCACACAACTTTGTCAAATCTTAGACTTGTTTGAATTTTCATTATGCTTTATAGAGGATCATTCAACTTCTGCCAAATATTGCATGGACCTTTGTCTATATTTTATTAATGCTCTACATTAGAACCCACAACTTCGTCAAAACTTAAATGAAGGCTTATGTTGCATTAGTTCCTCAGAGCTAACTTGATATGATATTGTTTGAGAAATGCTTGGACAATGATTTAATTGGCTGGGCTAATATAGACTTAATATTACATGTTTTCTTTACCATTTGTCACGACCCCCCTTGATAGAGTACTAACCCACTAACTTGAATGGTCGAAAACCACATGGCTCAAAATGTTTAATCACGAGTTAATGATAGTTATATCCTTATAAACTAGCTAAATATTCCTCCCGCATCGAATATGGCACTAAATTAGGGTGTCACATGGGCAATAACAACCAACTTCTTCAATGTGAAAACTAACTAACTGAAAGTTGACATGTAAAAAATCTTGCAAACAAAAGGTAATATCCAAGAAGGGAGTTATAGATAAACCAATTTTTAGTTATATACTGATAATTTAAAGTAAATTAGTTTCTCGTCTATAAAATAGTACCAATGTGACAAACATGACTAATATCCAACTAAAATTTAGACATAACAATAACCTGTATCTTCCTCAGCTACAACTAGCCCAACTCAAAAGGCAACAAGAAATGTCAAACCAAGCTACAAGAAGGGAAACCAGTAAGTGCCACCTCAGTCTTAAGACATACTTACCAAAGTTTAGTCGAGGTAGATTTTGCATGTATCATCAATATCAATTATTAAAGATCTTAGTAACTGCAACAAAAACAAGAGAAAGCAAAGGGATTACAAGAGATGAGCAAACCTGTTGAGGTTCTTTAAGTTCTACTAGAATATTAATTCATGGACTTATTTAAACAGCACAACTAGAGAAACTATCTTTAAGGGTGTATTTGCCAGCTCCAATTTGTTCTCTTATTTTACTTTGCCTTTTTCACTTTGTTATTTGGTTGCTTAAGCATATCAATAAAAGTAATAATATAGGTAGCACACAGGGAGTACAAGGCTCACCCATCGAGTACCCTTTTCAACCATAGATCAGAAATCGATCGGCACCACAAGTAGTGAGAACAATCCTGCAGTTATCTTGCCAGATGTACAAAATCACATACCTCCATAAACAGAAAAAAAAAAACAATTTTATCCAAAGAAAAACCCTAAGGATGCTGAGTACAACAAGTTTAGGAAACTAAAGCACAAACAATGAAGGGGGGAGATAATCTCCTACTGTGATGCAGCAAGATAAAAGTAAGAGATTCACATAGACATTGAGATCTCCATCGGTAACAACCTTCTCAATCAGAATTCTGAAACTAAATCTAATTCTACCCCTTTATGTAGATTTCAGAATAAACGCTAGCGCTATATAACTCAAAACCAGAAGTAAAGAAAAAAGAGTGTAAATCAAGAAAATGGGGGTAAAAAGCAGCAGCTAGTCGACTTACTTTTTGATCGGAAGGCAACAACCTCAACCTTGGGAGTAAAAAGAAAAAAATGCAGATCCTTGATCGGAGAACATTGCTTCAGCCCTGGGGATAAAAAGAAGCAGCTGGTCCGCTTGATTCTTGATCAGACGGCAATGCCGCCATCCTTGGGTGTAAAATGCATCATTCGAGGGCTACAAAAATTACTGCTGGTGAATTGGAGGCGGAGGAGGAGAGGGGAAGAAGGGAGGCGGTCGCTGACAAGTAAGGCTCTCGGCTTCTTGCAATTCTCGAGGGGTGGGGTGGGACACCGGCGTAGGATGATTCGCGGAGTCGCAAGCAGCGTTTCTGATGGGTATCATTTGAGGACCACAATAAGTATCTCCGGCTTTGGCATTAAGCAACCATGTTATTGTCGAGTTTTGCCTGACTCAGAGAAATTAACATACCAACATGAATGAACAACATGTGCTCAGAGATACATTTTTATTTATTTATCTTTAAAAAATATTTTTTTTATATTTATTTATATGATTATATTTTTTATTTATTATATATTTGGGTCATATATTTTTTTATAAGATTACATATATCATTTATTTATTTTATTTTTTACTACTATTAATTTAAATAAAAATATATTTTTATTTTTAAATGAAATATTAAAACTATTTAAAATGATAAATTCATCATAAAATATTCAATAGACTTTTGAAATATAATTTTATCAAATAATATTTGTATCAATACACATTTAAAATATAATTTCCATCCATCATTTATCAAATATTCAGAGCATTTCATGACTATACATTCACTCAAACTTGACATTAAAAATACAAATATGTTCTTAATGGGAGCCTCAGTACAGTAATTTATGCCAATAGCAACCAACGAAATCATCCTGGACAATTAAAATTAATCCTAGATGTCCTTGATATTTCACATGTAGCACCACCAAAAACTCATAAAGAATGCTATTCTACTTTGTACAAAAGATAACAAATCATTATATAGCAATGAAGAATTAAATTTATAGTTATATTCTACCTCAGAACAAAACTTGGCTTCTGAATCCATAGTACTTTACTGTCTTCCAGAGTTATCGAACACAACTTCATTACAGTTCTACATTTCCCAGTCAGTAGGTAGTGCTAATGATGCCATTTTATATCCTGGTCTGGTCCATCATATACAGATTGCTGTGACTTGTTTCTTTCTCTTCTTTTGACTCGTGGTTCCTGCACAGATGCTGGTGCCATTTTAGAGAATCTGCAATCAAGCCTGCAACTTATAAAATGTTCAAAACAAAACAGAAAAAAAAGATTTTATGCCAAAACATCACCGCTTCCCTACATTTGTAAGATGATCTCTGAAATGTATGTTTAACCGACGTTGAACTGTCTGGTGACATAATTGTGATAATCAACCTCTGAACTCTCGCAAGAGCTTCCAAGATTGGTCACTGTATCATGCACAGATAGCCTGATTATATGAGCTCCAGAAGATCTCGAAACATCTAAGCATTCCTCCAAATCCCAGTCACAGGTCAACATGACCCACTCATGATCATCATCAAGATACTTGATATCAAAAGTGCCAACTTCCAACTTCAACTTCTTTGAAATTTCATCCTTCAAAGCCAAGATACCAGCATTGTGTGGCAATCGAAATCTAATTATATCTTCTTTGTAACTTGCCTTGATTGTCAGTGCCTTAGTTTCTTGTGACACCCAAGGTTGTGAGGTATCACGAGTTAGAATCATGGCAGGTTCATCCCGGGAACCCACCCCTGCAAAAGTACAATTAATTTTCAATTCTTTTGAGCTTCCAGAATCTTTTATTAGCACTCCAACTGGTAGTTGGGGCTTCGAATTGACAGCAACAGGTAGTGAGTTTTCATTCAGCAGACTCCAATAGCAAGCATTTTGTAATGTGAGTTTTGAGGAACAATTGGTGCCTTGTGCCTGATTTAAGTCCGACAATGCTGGCTGGCTACTCACAAAGAAATTATTAACTGGACTTCCCTGGCATGAACCTTGGGAAGTAGGGGCATCCATGCTTCCTTCTGAAGAGCTTCCTGTTGAGCGACGAGAATCCATGACAGGGTTAAGCTGAGGATCGACTTGTTCTTTAACATGTACCCGAAGAGAAACAGGTTGGTCCTGTTGATCTTCTCTATCACAGGGTATCTCGGGAGAAAATTCACAAAATTCACTCCTCTTAACACCATCTTGTAAGTCCTTCAAACTATCCAAATCAACAGGCCATGGAACAGAATCAACAGCAACTGGAAGTGGACAAGATAGAGAGGTCAAATCCAAAGACCCAGCACCTTGGACCGACTCGATCACATGCTTCAGCTTGGAAAGAGACCGGTTAACCTTATTAATTTTCCGAGATGGCCATCTGGAAATTCCATGATGCCGACAGATGCGCTTCATGGTTGTCGGACAAACTGTGAAAAATGAAAAACCATATGGTTATGGTCGAAGAAGAGCACGGAGGTACTGATTCAAAGCACACTTTCCCGTGGTTGCAAACAGTAACAGAACAGCTAGGCCCAAACGATATTAGTCATAGATATAACCAAGAAACCGTAAGACTACTACTTCTGCTACTATAAAACCATATATATTTCCTGCATGCAGAAGGAAAATAAAACCAAAAATGGACATGGACAAAAAAGATTTCATATGCATCACAAGCATGGAAACATACCTCCCAGACTCTTTGCAGCATCTTTAAGATTCCCAGAGAAGTATTGCTGAAGTAACTCTAAACTGATCGTCTTCTCTGGTTTGCCTCTCCGCTTTGCAGGTATATAGCTGGTTTTGTTGTCCAACGCAGTTGAGTCTAAAAGTTTGTTACCATTCTTTTTGACATTTGAATCTGTAGCCAAATGCTGCCCATGCAAATCAGGAGTTGCATTTTCCTCATTTAGTGAGTCATCATTGTCTACAGGTTCATCAATATTAGCTTCAGAAGGTATATGGACATGAGTGTCACCACGTGGACTATATATGAGTCTAGGTCGCAATTCATAGCTACCATCCGCAATTAAGTCAACTTCAGGAGACTTTCCTCCTTGAAACTTAACCTCAGTTATGAATTTTAGATTCTGAAAACACTGTTTCAACAAACCTGAAATGGAATTCAACAAATCCTGTTGCTCACCAGGGCTTTTACAATCAGCCGGAAGGAAGAACTCCAATATGTAATCGTCATCGCCCAAATGGTTACTTCGTAAGCATATGGCAAGACATCCAGCTAAACCAAACATCCGTGCGTAATGTACAAGAGGATACTCACTTTTACAATACTTGGTAATATCTTTAGAAAAACATGGCCTACGTTGTGCAAATGTCTTGCCAGCCACTCCTTGTCCCTTCTGCAAATGATGTTCCACACAAGCTTCTCTAAATCCCCACAGGTGAGGGTCAATAATATAAAAGGCAACATCTGTTGTTGACATGCAGACTTGTCCCATGCAACTTCCATCAAATCTTGAACAAATCTTCTTAGGACCACCACCATGTGTCAGAACAGTTTGATGCCTGCATGGAACCCAAGTCTGAGCAAGCGGCAACTTTTTTGCTTCACAGACCAGTGTTAAGATTTCAAGAATTTCGGCTAGAGCTGCTTGGTGTCCATCATTGGCTATCTGGTTTTAATATAAAAATCAACCTCATCAACTCGTGGGAAATTTATAAACAAGAATTTGATTGAATATTATCACAGAGTAAAAATAACTCACCAGAACATTTGGATGGTCCAAAATCTCAGAACTTTTCAGGTTAACAGCCTGCAGAAAGTTGCATGGATTAACAAAATTTATTTGAATGACCTTAGTGACATAACAATAGAACACTGCTCTGCAGCTTAAGCAAGTTCGTAGCCAGAGCTGAACAAGGAGAAAATTGGATACATAAGGGTATCGCTTGCCTGGGCACCTCAGCTACCCCAAGGAGGCAAAAGGCTTAAATAGCAATTTGCTGGAGAAAGAGGTATACACTATTCTGCCAAGGGAAGAGATACATACCCAGAACCTGACTGCATCGAGTATCCCCATGAACTGGCCAAATTACAACGACAGCAGTTCCACAGAGCATCGAATTGCCTTAATCCGACTATTTAAGAACTCTGTCACCAGGTTTTCTTTTGTCTGCCATAATCATGCTTTTACTTTTTGCTACCCCTTTCTTTTTTCCTTTCCCCAACCTATCATAATTAAGGAAATTTTCTCCTATCTCCAGAATATATATCTATGAACCAAACGAGGCCTTGTATGTCTAGACCACACTAACCTCATATTGGTGGCTACACATTTATTTTTATAACAAATAAACATTTGCTAGTGACATAGAGAGTTATTCAAGGATTAATCTAAGATAACAGTGCAACAAAATTATTTTATCTCTTAATTATACTGTATACTATTTTATTGCAAAACATGATACATAAAAATTATAGAGATAGAACAATACAGTAACCCTGGACCAATTTTTTTCCAGTTAGCCACCTAACGGTTTGGGTACCTAGGCAACCAAGCATCAAGGCTGGTTAATCTGGACTATCTGACAAATGTGGAGTACAAATACTAAACTATGAAAGGTCAACTATTAAGAGAGTAAGAAACTAACTTTGGAAGTTATGGATCAAGCCAAAGGCAGCTCAATGACAATCTTCACAAACACAATGGTTAGATATAAATTTCCTAGCTATCTGTGGCCCACAATATTCAAGACAGTGTGACAAAAGTGACAGAAAGGAACAGTAATCACTTTGAAATCTTGTTTTCCCTAAATATGCTACATCTCATGACAGTGTGCTAGTTGTAGCTCCTAGGTACCATGGTTTGCCATATGAAAGAATCTAGGGTTCCTCATTTAATCAGATTGAAAGTTGGGCTAAACCGTACCACCATCTTCTAAATATTTACTTTCTAGTTTTTTTTAATAATAAAGTGCATGTAAAATCAAATGGCACGCATCTCATTTGTAAAAATACCTTGTATAATTCTACATGCCCAGTTATACTCATCCTACCATCAACTCCAAGCAAGAAGACTGGACATTTTCACAGAATCTCTGAAAGTAACTGAAGAAAAAGAACAAAAGTTAACTGCATAGGAGAAGGAAACATACCTCTAGAGCTTTACAAACTTTATCAACCTCATAAGCATAATTGACCTTTTGCGATGTCATGACGACCTCAACTACACCAATGCAGGATTGACCAGATGGTTCAAAAACTGGCAATGCCAGGGTCCCCTGAACATTATAACAGAGAGCATGATTAAGGCGCTGATACTCCTTGCTGCTATAGTATTGCACATTCGGTGTCCATTCTGGCATTCTTCTTGTGAAAACACGGCCAGGGAGACCCAGATCGGCATCATCATCTTCATCAACCGAAAATATGTACATTAGAGACACCGTTCTGTACTGAAGAAGCTTGGTACTCTCAGGATCTAGAATGAAGGGCTGTCCCAAAGTTGTGAGAACACAACGATCCCCGTTCTTTACAGGCGCCCAAACCTGAACCAGAACATGATGATCTGTTGACTCCTTAAAGTACCGAAGTGCCTGTGTCATCCTCTCCTTGATCACAAAGGAACCATCCGAGAACTCCTCCACTGCTGGAACTTGTAGCTCCATTGCTTTGCTATCAGCCATGTTAGCCTTTGCATTTCTCATGTCATGATTACCTAAGTACCAGCAGTCAATTCCAGTTTCACGCAATCGAAGCTATCAAAAATCCCTAACGAAGCAGGCAAAAAGAAAAGGCGACTCAAATCGAAAGGCAAAGGTCAAATCAAGAGCGGGTGGGATCTCACCCTTCAAAAACCCCGGGTCGTCGGCGAGAGAACTTGAGACGACGGCAGCAGTATCTTCGAAGATCCAAAGCGGCGAAGGCGGAGGAGGGAAGAACAGCGGAGAGGAGGACGAGAGGAGGAACGAGGAGGGGAGGCTCGCGACCAAGGGGCTCGGATCGAACGTCCACGGGGAGACGTCGAGGTCGAGGTCCATGAGCGCCGGCGAAGCGGAGGGCCGAGGAGAATGGCATCGGGGTTCCGACATGGGGAGGACGGGGGAGGGAGGTCGGGGGAGTCGACGGTAGAGGGCGGTGATCCCATCTGGGAGAGGGCGGCGGGAAGGTTGGCTTAGTAGAACCAGTGGGCGTCCCACCGAACCAGCGCCTGAGGGACAAGTTGGAGGAGGAAAAGTGGGGGCCAGGTCGATCGGACGCGCAGCCACCGTAGGATGAGATCACGACGTCTACAGCGAAGTTATCTCTGCCTCGTGTCCGTGTCTGGAAGCCCCGTGTGGCGCGTGGCAACGGAAACGTGTGCGTCTGTAAACGGGCACGCGGGCCTACGCCAACAGGCTGTCAATGATTTGAGAAATACCATTTCTAACCCAAATCAAGAAAAATAATTTTATTTATTTATTTGGATTTTTTATTGACATCGAAATCGACACAAATATTTCCTATTTATTTTATTTCTTATCAAAATTGGTTGTGTACAATATACGGAATTAATCTTCTGGTCATTCGTCGAGATAAAGAGTGGTCGAGGCTTAGTTCACGCTCTCTACTGCACATCCATTGGTCGAGATAAAGAGTGGTCGAGGATTAGTTTATCCGCTAGTGCACATCGACTCGATTAAGCTTTTCCAAGAAGTGGGGAAGTGATGTGGACACGCACATCATATATTCCAAGAACGCGTTGACTTTAATTTGTTTGTGCTGATCCATATATGTATATTCTAATACTTAAGTTACTATTCAGGTCAGAAAATTAGCCAATGATTTTAGTATCATTTCAAAGGGTGTCCAAGAAGAAAAGATTGGTTGGTATTAGAGAAAGCCATTCATCGAGATCCGAGCTTTATCTAGCCCTTGGATTGGGCACCCAAGATGGCTGAAGAAGAGAGACTAGCAAATAACGTTCAAGCCCTCCAATGCCACCACCACCACTAGAGAGATCCTTCTAAGTTAAGTTCTCTTGCTCTAAAGCGAGTTGGCTAGAGGATCATAATCTACAATAGTAGTAGGTGTCACCTCCCGAGGCACAAAAGCCCTCGATCTCTTTGGCTCACTCGGATGACCCGTCATCTATCAACACATTCAATGTCTACTCAATTTAGTAGATCTCGTTCTCATAGGAGTTGGCTCAAGAGAAAAGAGGGTGTCATCATTCTCACTTGAGAGGAAATCAGTAACCAAAGTAGTATTATCCGACGCTGAAGAGGGGTTGACTTTGGAGCCCACCTCTAACCAAGATTGTATCGAGACCCATCAATCGATCCTCTCCTAATTCGTGATAATGATATTTCCTGAATTATTTAGGAGTCGGATTACCTAATTTTTATCTATCTTATTTTTTTTCCCTTTTAGGTTGGGAATCCTCACTTAACTTTATAAAGGGTTGCCAACTATAATGTAAATACTTTTTATTAATAAAAATATTTTTTTTCATAACTTGTCTCATCACAGTGTGTTTTATAGAATTTTTATAAGTCTTTGAACTTAGAAACCCCTTCCTAAGGTGCAGTATAATCAAAGTTTATGAAATAAGGTTATGGTCCCGGTTGTAGTATCGAATGAAGTTTCTCTTCACCCGTCAAAAATCTAAAGTTCAAAAGATACTCTGCAATTGGAAGATCAAATCACTAATCAATTCAGAAAATACTCCAATGAATTTATCAGGTACATTTCCGTATTAATATGTTTATTAATTGTCGTAGGATTTCATACATAATATAGTGGATTAAATAAGTTTTATGTAAATATTCTTAATCCATTATTTTGGATCTATAAAGTATGTTTTTGAATCAAAGATGAAGGTTTTGATTCTATAAAATAATTGTTTGATCCATATTTGATATGTTAAAAGAACCTCAACAGTATGACCCTTCTCAATTCAGCATGAGCTTTCCTCTAATTAAAGTCGGATCATTGATTTTTGCCTTCCGCAAGACTACGTCCCTAAACTTTGAGATATTGATGTTGAACTCTAAATTGTAGGATTTTGTCATGACCATCTTACATTCACTCAAACTTTATCAATCATATCAAGGTTTGTTTGAAACCCCAAGTCGAACATCTTTTCATCTAAGACTTGGGTTCGAATCATTGGTAGAATGACTTCAACCCCATACACAAGGAAGAAGGGAGATTCTCTCGTTGAGGCCTTTAATGTTGTTCGATAGCTCCGTAACACATTTAGGAGTTCATCTATTGAAGTATCTTTGACTTTGACCATCATTCTCTTCATGTTCCTGCATAAGTTTTTTGGGTTGAAGTCTTGGTTTCTCCTGATATTGAAACACCAATGATCATATCAACCTGATGCTCGATCGGTCCATATGGTCATGGGGACATCTCACGGACCCTAGGTAAGTATCAGTCCAGGCGTCGCCTTCGGATCGACTCTTCGATCTATTGCTGTAGACAGATTCTTATAGAAACGACAGAGCTTAGATCGACTACTCGTCATTAGTGAGGCTCTCAGAAGTTCTAATGTAACTCGAGAATGTCTCCTTATTGCTCTCTTCCTACAGGTAGGAGAGAGAGGTTGCAGGCTTCGTATGCTTAAGCAAAGGCGTGTGAGTTTCCAGCACCAGCACTGGATTCTCTTCTACAGCACAGTACGTCCACTCGGGGTCACGATCCATGTCCATTCTGCTTCCAGAGTGATGAAAAACCGGCATTGATAAGCATACTAAGATACACGTGTGTTTATATGCTTGAACTCGTCGAGTTGGTGAGTGATTGGGTTAAGCCTCCTCGATGAGAATGAAAAGAAGAGTGTGCAGAGCTTGGAAATGTGATGTCTGCATGTGAGCTCTGACACCGATGCTAAAAACCATTGTAGATAAACTGCCCTTACTGTGAGAGGGCGTGCAGATCTCGGACATGTGATCTCTATGCATCTACTTACACGGTGAGATTTTGCGGCAGGTCTGCTCCCCGGTCAAATCCCCATCACCATGTACGAGCTTTGTCCACATTCGTATGCGAAGGTTAACGAGTGGTCACAGCACGAAGAAGGCAGACAAGGAGAAAGCCAAGACCATGTAATTGGTATCTGTGATCGTTTCAAGAATTTACTCTCGGTTTGAATGCCTTGCTAGTTTTTTTTCTTTGGATGATGTTTTTGAAACTCCAAGTTCTTAGTAAAAATTTTATTATATTAAATAACATACATCAATTGAGAATAGTACTGTTTTCGATTGTCTCGAAGTAATCCTTTTTTATGTTTGCCTTGGGAAATCGTTGGGTCGATATTACTGGAGGAATCCTTGCTCCTCCTCCCTGTGTGCAATGGCCGCTGGCTCCGTTCCCCTTCTTTCGGAGGATGCAGTACCTCTCCAAGAGTGCAGGGACCTCATCGCATCCCTCCCGGTCGACCACCGCGTCGTCCCCGTGCGGCAATACCAAGGGTTTTGGTGGCCGGAGAGCACCCTCCCCGGCGTCATCGCCGTCCAACGCCACTTCAAGTCTCGACCCGATGACGTCTTCCTCGCCACCTACCCCAAGTCCGGCACGACCTGGCTGAAGTCTCTCGCCTTCGCCGTCACGACCAGGTCGCAGTACCCGCTATCCGACCACCCTCTCCTCCAGATCAACCCCCACCAGTGCGTGCACTCGCTGGAGAGGATGTTCAACCGGGGCCGCAGCTCCGAGATCGACGCCCTGCCCTCCCCTCGCATCCTCGCCACCCACATGCTCCACTCCGTGCTCCCCGACTCCATCGCCGCCTCCGACTGCCGGATCGTGTACCTGTGGCGCGACCCCAAGGACGTGATCGTCTCCGCGTGGCACTTCGGCGAGAAGGTGCTGGGGACCCGGGAGTACCAGGCGGAGTGGCCGGTGGACAAGGTCGCCATGGCGCACTGCGAGGGGATCTCCACCCACGCGACGATCTGGGATCACATCCTCGGGTACTGGAGGGCGCGAATGCACCGTCCGGAGAAGATACTCTTCCTGAGGTACGAAGAGATGTTGGCGGAGCCGGCGGCCAACCTGAAGAGGATGGCCGACTTCCTGGGTTGCCCCTTCTCGCCGGAGGAAGAGAAGGCAGGCATGGTGGAGGAGATCGTCACCCTGTGTAGCTTCAATAATCTGAGCGGCTTGGCGATAAATAAGCCGTCGAGCGACGTGACCGATGAGGGGACGAAGTTGCAGCTGCTGAACAATGCATCCTTCTTCCGCAAAGGAGAGAGGGGTGACTGGAGGAACCACATGAGCCCGGAGGTAGCTCGGAGGATGGATGAAATGACCATGGAGAAGCTTCAAGGATCAGGGCTGAGCTTTTGATGTAGACGCCAACACCGCAGGAGAAGCTTTAAGGCCCTTTTGGCTGCCGTCTTTTTCTTCTGGTTTTTGCTTCCCTTTGTTATCAGTAATAACGCAACGCAGGCTGTAGGAAGTGTTGCGTGATGTTGTTTCTCATCGCTAGTTTAATTTGCTTTTGTTTTTTGGTTAAAGATCTGTAACTTGCATCTACTCTTCTTTTAATTCTCACCAACGCTTAATTAACTCAATTATTTACCAACTAAACGAGTGTATATATATATATATATATATACCATGTTGAGATTAATTAGTATTCTTAGAAATGCCTGTATTCCACGAATCTTGAAGCAGAATGGACATGGATCGCGTGCCTAAGTGGACGTTCCGTGTCTACGTTTACAGTGGAGATTCTACAGCAACCATGTCTAGTGGAAGAGAATCCAATCTTCATTAATTGGAAGTCTATAGCAACCATGTCTACGTTTATAGTGGAGATTCTACAACAAAGTCCTATAGTCCGATATCGAGAAAATTAGACTTGTTGTCTCGTCTTAGAACTATAAATAAGAGCATGAACTTTGAAGTCAGATGCACCACAAGAAAACCTAAGTATTTACTTTGGTTTAAGTCCACACTCAGTTAAATAGGTGGATTTATAGTTTGAGTTTTTCTTGTTTAGTATTTTTGGGTGTTTTATGGCCTATGAACATCTTCCTAAGGCATTTGTAATAGTTCTTTTTCATAGTAGTGATTTGCTCCTCTTTCGTCCTTGGATGTAGGTCAAAGTTAATTGACCGAACCACGAAAATATGGTGTTCTTGTCGCTTTTATCTTTTCACTTTATTGTCTTTGTTGTGTTGCCAAAATTACCTTGTGGTAAATTTTCTAGGGCTAGCTCTAATAAACTGGTATCAGAGCTTGGTTTCGGGATCTTTTGGTAACGATGACAATAACAAAGATCGTTGTCGAGTAATTCGACATAAATGTCAACTTCGGCTTGTGGCAACTCAAGATGGAGGTCATTCTAGTTCAAGACGGAGTTGATTTGGTACTATAGGGAGTCGAGAGCATTCCAGATGATATGTCAAAAGAAAAGCTTGCGAGTATGGATAAGAAGGTCCGATCAAGCATCATTCTAAATCTCTCTGACGAGGTTTTACGGGAGGTAGCTACGGAGACTACGGCTAAGAGCATGTGGGACAAGCTTAAAGCCTTGTACATGAAGAGGACAGTGGAGAATCGTCTCTACTTGAAGCAGAGTCTATATATGCTTCGGATGACTGAAGGTATATCTATATTCTCACATCTTGATAAGTTTGATTCTTTGGTTATGGATTTGGAGAATATAGATGCAAAAATCGATGATGAGGATAAGGCTTTGTTACTCTTGTGTTCTCTTCCCTAATCTTTTAAGCATTTCCATGATACTTTGATTTATGGAAAAAAACAGTTTCGTATCAAGAAATTAAATCTGCATTGAAATCTAAGGAGCAGATAGACAGGAATATCACTGGGGAAAATAGAGAGAATCAGGTTGAGGGTCTGGTCGTTAGGGGGAGAATGGATAAAAGAGAATTTGATAGTAGTAGATCTAAATCTAGATCTAAATCCAGACATAGAAATTTGGAATGCAGATATTGTCATAAAATGGGGCACATTAAATCTGATTGCTTTAAATTAAAAAATAAATTAAAGTAAAAGGAAAATTTTATTGAGAAAACTATTGAATCCGCTGAAGTTAGTGTAGCAACTGATGAGAATGTTGGAAATATTTTCTCTGCTAGTGATGACAGGACGAGGTCTAAAATTGAATGGATTTTAGATTCAGGTTGTTCTTATCACATGTGTCCCAATAGGGATTTGTTTTCCACATATGAATCTTGTAATGGTGGAATTGTTTTGATGGGCAATAATGCCGCATGTGATGTTGTTGGTAGAGGCACAATCCGAATTAAAATGCATGATGGTATTGTGAGGACGCTCACTAATGTTAGACATGTTCCTGATTTAAAAAAGAATTTTATCTCTTTAGGCACCCTAGAGGCCCTTGGGTGTAAATACACAGTTAAAGGTGGAGTTATGAAAGTTTCTAGAAGTGCTCTTGTTGTTATGAAAGCTTGTAGGTCTGGTAGCTTGTATATTCTGCAGGGAACTACTGTCACAGGTTCGGTTGCAGTTTCGTCATCATCATTGTCTGATTTTGACATCACCAAATTATGGCATATGGGTTTGGATCATATGAGCGAAAAAGGTTTGAGCATATTGAGCAAAAGGGGTCTACTTTGTGGACAGAGTATTGGGTCACTTGTTTTTTGTGAACACTGCATTTTTGGAAAGCAGAAAAGAGTCAGCTTCACTTCTCCGGCAGTTCACAAAATGAAAGGTACTCTTGACTATATTCATTTAGACCTTTGGGGTCCAGCTCATGTGCAGTCTAAAGGTGGTGCTAGGTATATGTTGACTTTCATTGACAATTATTCCAGAAAAGTTTGGGTTTATTTTTTGAAGCATAAAAATGATGTTTTTCTAACATTTAAACAATGGAAGGCTTTGATTGAGAAACAAACAGGTAAACAGATTAAGCGGCTTCGAACAGATAATGGCATGGAATTTTGTGAAGGTGACTTTAATGAATTTTGCAAAAATGAAGGAATCGTTCGGCATCGCACTGTTAGGATGACGCCTCAGCAAAATGGTGTGGCCGAACGTATAAACAGAACACTCTTGGAAAGAGCGAGGTGTATGATCTCAAATGCAGGGTTGACAAAGGACTTTTGGGTAGAGGCGATTAATATGGCTCGTTACGTTGTCAACCGTGCTCCTTCTACAGCACTTAACTTTAAAACTCCGGAGGAAGTTTGGTCAGGTACTCCTGTTGATTACTCTGATTTAAAAATTTTTGGGTGTCCAGCATACATGCATGTAAATGAAAGAAAATTAGAGCCTCGGGCTAAAAAGTACATTTTCCTTGGGTTTGCTTCTGGGGTGAAAGGATACAGATTATGGTGTTCTGATCCCAAATCCCCAAAATTTGTAATCAGTAGAGATGTTACTTTTGATGAATTGTTTATGTTATCTTCCAAAGAGGATTCTACTAGTTGTACAAATGATAGTGCGCAGAAGCAGGTGGAGCTTGAGATTGGTAATTCAGATTCTTTTAAGTCGAACTCTTCTACTCAAAGAATGCCAATAGGTGGTCCCGAGTCTACTGACGCAGATGATCCAGAGGAAGAGTAATATTCCATAGCCAAGGATAGACCACGAAGAGATATTCGACCACCATAAAGATATGTAAATTTGGTTGCATATGTTTTGTCTGTTGCAGAAGAGACAAGTGAAGTTGGTGAGCCTACTTCCTACTCAGATATAATTTCTTGTGATAATTCCGCTAAGTGGTTGATTGCGATGAATGAAGAAATTGAATCTCTCCATCGGAATAGAACTTGGGATCTTGTGAAGCCGCCTTCGGGTAAGAAAATTGTTGGATGCAAATGAGATACTATTGCTGAGGGAAAGGCCCTTGTTCAGAAAATTCATACGAAGGACAATCCAGTTGATATGTTTACAAAGCCTCTTCCGGTTTACAAGTTCAAGCAGTGTTTGGACTTGGTTGGTGTTCATTGTTGGTGATTGCCTGTTAGGGCTTTTATGAAGAAGGTGGAGCAAGTTTTGTTGGGACATGCCAAGATGGAGATTTGTTAGTTTGGCAAGTCCCATAATCCCACATCGGAAAAATCAGACTTGTTGTCTCGTCTTGGAACTATAAATAAGGGCCTGAGCTTTGAAGTTAGATGCATCATAAGAAAACCTAAGTATTTACTTTGGTTTAAGTCCACACTCAGTTAAATAGGTAGATTTATAGTTTAAGTTTTTTAGTATTTTCGGATATTTTATGACCTAGGAACATCTTCCTAAGACATTTGTAATAGTTCTTTTGATTTGCTCCTCTTGGTCAGTCCCAAGCGCCGCCACCAGCGGAGTGCCTCCGACCTGGTCTCCGGCGGAAAGGCCTTGTCGAATTCGTGCGCCACGAGCCGGACGAAATCCTCCAGGAGACGCAGCACGTAACCAAGCTTCTCCTTGATCAGCTCCAGGACGTATTGCTCGAGGTCCAAGGCTTCCCCTGCTTCCTTTGCCTTTAGCTTCCTCATGCTGGCTTCCATTCAGCTAAAGCATGAACACCTTACAACTTTTGGAGAAAGAAAGAATGACAAGTTCATTCCTCTTGCCCAATGTCAACTTTTGGAGAAAGAAAGAATGACAAGTTCATTCAGCGAAAGCATGAACACCTTACAACTTTTAACTCTGGTTTTTTTGCTTGGCAAATACTCATGGCATGGAGAAGCTCGTAACCTTTTGGTTCTCTCAGTTTGAACCCTTTCACCTGTCGTCACAAAGTTACAGACATGGCCAACGAGCAATAGGACTCGATTACCGATTGCAACAGAGAGTCTTACCGTGCTTGGATGGGTTCACGATTTGGACCAGGACGACCGTGTCGTTGCCCTGCACCGAGTGGGAGAGCGCCCAGAGCAGAGCAGCCTTCGCCTCCGGGCTGGAGTCCACCACGATCATGATCCGCCTCCCCTGTTCCATCTCTTGCTTACGTCCATTGGCCATGCGATGTCCATGCACGTGAGCTCTGACACCAACCTTACAGTGAGATCTTGTGGCAGATCTGCTCCCCAGTCAAATCCCCATCACTGTGTACGAGCTTTGTCCACATTCGTATACGAAGGTTAACGAGTGGTCACAGCACAAAGAAGGCAGACAAGGAGAAAGCCAAGACCATGTAATTAGTATCTGTGATCGTTTCGTTTCAGCCTTGGGAAATCGTTGGGTTAGACATTACTGGAGGAATCCTTGCACCTCCTCCCAGCGTGCCATGGCCGCTGGCTCCGTTCCCCTTCTTTCGGAGGATGCAGTACCTCTCCAAGAGTTCAGGGACCTCATCGCATCCCTCCCGGTCGACCACCGCGTCGTCCCCGTGCGGCAATACCAAGGGTTTTGGTGGCCGGAGAGCACCCTCCCCGGCGTCATCGCCGTCCAACGCCACTTCAAGTCTCGACCCGATGACGTCTTCCTCGCCACCTACCCCAAGTCCGGCACGACCTGGCTGAAATCTCTCGCCTTCGCCGTCACGACCAGGTCGCAGTACCCGCTATCCGACCACCCCCTCCTCCAGCTCAATCCCCACCAGTGCGTGCAGTCGCTGGAGGGGATGTTCAACCGGGGCCGCAGCTCCGAGATCGACGCCCTGCCCTCCCCTCGCATCCTCGCCACCCACATGCTCCACTCCGTGCTCCCCGACTCCATCGCCGCCTCCGACTGCCGGATCGTGTACCTGTGGCGCGATCCCAAGGACGTGATCGTCTCCGCATGGCACTTCGGCGAGAAGGTGCTGGCGACCCGGAAGTACCAGGCGGAGATCCCGGTGGACAAGGCCGCCATGGCGCACTGCGAGGGGATCTCCACCCACGCGACGATCTGGGATCACATCCTCGGGTACTGGAGGGCGCGAG